CCAAAATAAATAGATGACACATATTAATTAATAGCACATTTATCTTTTTAAATAGTATCAAGCAATCGAACTGATTATCTATCCTAGTCTAAGCAGAAAATATTCAGCATCGAACTCAGTCACGGTTTTGAAGTACCTGGTAGTAAACTTATACACTTAGTTTCATCATTTTGCGTCAGTTAAAATCGAAGTTATCTTGTCCCAAAGCATCGAGGGCTTTAGCGAAAATCGTTAATCATTGAATTCATTCAAGACATTCACCTTATCAACATCTACACCAAGTTCAATCTTTCTACCTCAATTAAAAGCATAATTGTTATGTTCGTAAATCTTGACCAATCAAATTGCTTATCGCTACTTAGCCTAAGCAGAAAAATCTCTTCATCGAACTTTGTCAAGTTATTGATACAATGAATCTATACTTTGTCACACATTTAGAATCGAAGTCGTCGAGCTCTTAAATCCCGACCAATTAAATTGCTTATCGCTCTGCTTACCCTGAGCAGAAAATGTTCATTATCTAACTTAGTCAAGGTATTGATATAATGAAACTGCACACCAAGTTTCATCACTTTCACTTTTTTACTTTATCTTGCAGCATTTTCACGGGCAATCAACATATGACCAGAAACACCATATCTGTATTGAATTCACAAAGACTTTAATGACCGTGGCAATAACGCCACAGATGACTACATAAACGACACCAGCAAATTTTAAAAACACCCTAATCCAAATTGAAAATAATAAAAAAAACAAAATCTAAATTAAAAAAAAAACAACAAAAAAACTATGTAGTGTCCAACATGAAATGTGGAAGTAAAAATAGTTACCTGTAATATTGTAAACCACTGCATGGGTTACATCCCCCCTTAATATCATAGTTAAAGCCATAAACATCTGTCTAATGAAGGAATTTCCACTCCAGAATATGGTAGAATTATGGAGTAAACGACATGCTGTGGTCGAATCAAAGTCATCAACTTGACAACCGGGATGTGATGTCACCCAGGTGGAAGATTCAGCTGAAATACGTTGTCTTAGATCATAACATTCCTCACATTTACAATCTTCAATAGATTTAGACACACAATAACCTTCATAACAACATGGCGTAGGTCCTTTAGGGTCACACAGTCCCCTTAATAATACCCTGAAAGCACCTGGATAGTTCACGTTACCACATTTACCATCCTTTCTTTGATAACTTTCAGGAATACGCCAATTCCGCGCATATTGGATTCTAAATCTTTGGACCAGTATGTCCACCAATTCCCGGGTAAAATGAGGTAATGGCTTCCAATAACCACGTGTCATGTGGGAAAAAACCCCAGGACATACTGTATCCTCGCTAGTATATGTCGAACTGTTACAGCTAAATCCTAATCGGGATAAAGTGTCATAAGGCGAAGTATAAATAATGAATATGATATACATAAAGGAAACCACAAATAAAATAAATAAGATCCGAAATCTTGTATTAACAGTCATATTGATGTGTAAGTCAATCGACAATGCACAATTTACTGACCTGTAATAAATCTTATGTATCAAATCAAAGATTTCCACAAGACGAAGTCGAGTAAGTGGGTGGATTCCTAGTCTCGGTCACCCAGAAGCTCCCATTCTTTGTTAACACGTTTTCCTGTGGCCTCGCCCACAGTTGTCGAGTTGAGTGGCACACGGCCTCAGTTATTTGTATTATATAAACTGACCTGTTTTAACAGCATGTTGCCACGCGGATCAAAACAGCGTTTATGGGAAAAGTGCTCCATCGGCTCATTCGTGCACTGTATAGGCAGCAATCGCCCAAAATAGACATTTACGTGACAATTTTCATTCACTTATTTATCAATGAAGCCATGTAAAAAAAAATTCTTCTTTACTCGTTGGACTTTTAAAAATAAGTAGTTACGAACTAGATTAAAATTTTGGCTTAAACTCAACGATTTAATTTTTAAGTTAGTTGATTGTAACCAATGACGTATATATTTTAATGGTTCTCGGCTCAGAGTCAACTCATGCTTTTTCTATCTTTTAAGAGTTTAAACGTTACATTGTTGCTGGCTCTAAATACGCAAAAAAAATTGAGACTGGAAATTAATTGAACGCAATAAATTTTCCTTAGTCTCGATTATGGTTGACGTGTATGGTTGACATAAAATGACGGTACTGGTCACAAGACTAGAATTCTAATCAGTTGAGGGCGCTGCGAATTTGTCCTCCGGTTTTGGGTCAAATTTAATATGAGTATGTGGTGTAAAAAAGGGCTGTCATTAATCGTGTTTAGTATACTTATGCTTTCGTGCGTTATAAACTGCATTTGTAATTTCTAACATGATGGTTACAAAACGTTTCAGTTACTATAAATTCAGCAACAACTCATTTTTCTAGAAACCGAAATATAACTAAAAAAACGCGCATTGACTGTTACATAATTATTAAAAAAATGAAAACGCGACACGATGCGTAAATTGTGCGTCTTACTTTCAAGAACAAAAGCTATAAAATAGAAATATCCAGACTGATACATAATGCGACCCCCTCTCCCCAAATAATATAGAATAGTCCAGTCATGCTGATGGCCAGAACTGTAGGAGCCGAGCCGGGCCCGGACCGTGGGGCGGGGGATTGCCCCCCTCCTCCCTTCCTGACTCATTTCAAGTTTGATTTTTCGGGCAAAAGTAGACTGATAAGTAAATACAGATTAACATTCCCGTCGCCCACACCTCCTAAAATATAAAATCCTACACATGCCCCTGGTGGGGGCGGGAGATTATTTGATAAGACGTTTACTTGTGACCTCGTCCAGGCGATAACACTAGCCAAATATCTCAGTCGAATATGTCAGTCAAATACATCAGTCGAATATATCACTCGGCAAACCTCGGCAGATTCCGTTACTCGGCTGTATGACAGTAAGTGATATGTACCTACGCCTATGCAATTAGGACAACTTGCCGCTTTTAAAAAGAAGTTTACTTGTGACCTCGTCCAGGCGATAACACTAGCCAAATATCTCAGTCGAATATGTCAGTCAAATACATCAGTCGAATATATCACTCGGCAAACCTCGGCAGATTCCGTTACTCGGCTGTATGACAGTAAGTGATATACGCCTATGCAATTAGGACAACTTGCCGCTTTTAAAAAGAAGTTATCAAAATTGCGCCGTTCGAAGCGTGTGCAGAATTTACGGTGCAAAGTTGTACTTGTTTGAAGAAAATCGGATAAACTTGAAAGAAAAATAGCTTCAGACATTGAAATATTTGTATGATAAAACATTCTTCAAAGGCTTCGTCCCTACATGTCGTTAGGGCGTGGGTTGGGTGTGTCTTTGTGGGGAGTGTGGGGTCTTTTCTTGTGGTTTCGTCCAGACGATAAAACCAGTCAAATAAACCAGTCAATTAATCCAGTGGAATATATCAGATCGTATTTAGCAGTCGAATATATCAGTCGATTATGTCAGTCTAGAAAAACGTAAAGCGTGTCTTTATTAAGCAGCGGTTGCAGTAACTAAGGTACGATGTAAGAACATAATAGTCCTCTATATATCCCTGGACTGTGAAAAATGCTTCAGTGTGTAGTTATTTAGGGATGATATATATAAGAACACCGAACATGCCAGAAAGTTGGGAATTTAACAAACGCTTGGTCTAGATAAATTGTTTCAATGGCATTTAGTATTTGCACTTAAAATACACAGCTAGGCCATAATTCTATGAAAAACAGTAATACATTAATTGTATTTTGGAGAATTTCGCAAAATAAAAACATGGCAAGTCATAGACGGCATATTTCCGTAGACTAGTCATAGAAACATAGGATGACTCAAATTAAATAAAGAAAAACACAGCTATGAACGTATTAATAGACACCAGTGAATACTCAATTGGGATCAAGTTGCTTTTCGCATTTTCGTAGTGTGCCGTTCAAAATTTCGCGGCACACTTAGGAAGATCTCGCGACACACCTGTGTTGAGACTCACTGATCTGTAATAAGTATTAATTGTATTTTAGAGAATTGTGACCTGTTAGAGCGGGAGTCCAGGGGGTTAACCTAGGTGAAAAGTGTACCAATTTTCTCCTATATCATATCAATGCATGTATATCTGGTATCATCAGAATGTAATTAAGTCTGCCGGGTTTCTGGTGGTCGGTGTGGTATTCCACGCCCAAAATGCAATGCCCCCAACTAGGCTAGATTAGCTCAAAAGTGTACCACATAAAAATAGTACAGCTTTGTACCGTACATCTTCAGGTATTACAAAAACACTCTGACAGACATTTCTAGTGGTGGGGTGGGGTACCCGCGACAGAGCTATGTAATTGCCAGACATTTGTAGTGGTGGAGTATCCCTGACAAGAGATATCTATATTTCCCAGACCACAGCTAGGCTAGATTAGCTGAAATCTGTACCACCTAGATGGGGGCGTGGCATTTTGGGCGTGTCTGTTAGGGGTTACCCACCGCACAAATTGTCTAGCTGGCAGTGGTCATTCATGATTCCCGTCGTGGTACTGAACAACTCTAAAGCTGTTTTAGGTGATACAGATTTTAGCTAATCTAGCCTAGCTGTGGTCTGGAAAATAGATAACTCGTGTCAGGGATACTAGATGTACTAGATGCAGTGTACTAGATGTACGGTACACTGCTGTACGACTTTCATGTGGTACACTTTTGAGCTAATCTAGCCTAGTTGTGGAGCATTGCATTTTGGGCGTGGAATACCACACCCACCACCAGAAACCCGACAGACTTACATTCTGATGATACCAGATATACATGCATTGATGCCATATAGGAGAAAATTGGTACACTTTTCAGCTAGGTTGGCCCACTGGGCTCCTGGTCTATGTGTACATAGTCTAGACTATAATATAAACAATATTGTTTTTCGAAACATCATTTTCCACACTTCAACGCTTTATTTTGTTACTCACCTACAAAACCATATTCTAAAACTGTATTTATACAATACAAAAATAGTTATTGTCATGAAAAAGGGACCATTGATTTTTTTTTGTGTGTGTCTGAAGTGGAGTTTCAATATTTCAGTGGTTGAATTGCATTATTGATTACACACGAACAACATCTGTATTCCAATCAATCTACTGGGAGTATATAATAACTACAAAAAAAAATCTGTAGCTGAAATGTCATAGATTTCTGTATAACACCTGATATACCATTCGCCCATTACGTTGATCATTTGGATATACAAGATGACTTTTCCTCCGATGATATATAACTTTTTATTTAATCATTGTCTTTATTGCTCGTCTGTAAATTCTTAGTATTGTCACCATTGTCCTTTTCGTTGTAATTCGGCTATATAATGAAGAAAGATTCTCGCCTTCAACATATTCACAGCCAGACCGTGATGGCAGCCATCGTGACTAGCTACACCGTCTGTCATATTAAACGTATCAAAAACAGGTATTCCTAATTTCTCTAAACGAGGATTTAGCCATTCATTAAAGTGTAAACATGGCTTATATAGTTGTAAGGGTTGAAAAGGAGTTTTCAAAAGTCCAGGTGCATGAGCTGCTGCCCACATTAATTTGGGCCATACAGACTTTTTAGTATTATAATGCTTCAATATTGGATGGATATGATCATTCAGAATCTTTGTATAATTGTAGTTATCATGGATGCCTATTCCCATGAATATCATTGTTCTTGGTTTATTACTCAGATTATTTATAGCCCCATGAATTTCTTGTGTCTGTGAAGCTTTGGGTCTATAAGTGAAGGTAATATTCACTGAACCGTTGCAAACAATAGGGCTCTGCTCGATTCGAGTTTGACAATAGCCATGCATATTGCCCAAGCCTTGACATTTTTCTGGATCTGAAAGAAATAACTCCAAATAATTAAGATAGTTATTTTTATATGTATACTCTTCAAAAAAAGTAGGGGATATTGAAAGGCAAATTGCTATGCATGTTGGGATATGATAAATAGTCGGGGACACTTGACATGCTTTGAGAGTATATTCACAGATGAAGAACTTATCGCCCCAACAGAACCACTGAGCTGCACTTGCGACACGCAATAGCGCCATACACGTGGGAGGGTTCATTGTCAAATTTGACACTTCAAGGAAGGGTTGATGAAAACTGACGCGTGCTGGTTTATCCTATCCATGTTTGCCTTTCTATCGGTTCTTGCATAAGATTTACTATTTAGCGTATCTTTGCTTTAGTGTGTTACGTTTAATTTGCAATGAGACGTCTTCAAGATGACTAACGTCTACGTGCTGGTATGCTTCAAATGGGTTCTACACAGCGAGCAGTAGCCAAAATGCTTAATGTGTCACAGTCTGTGGAACCGGTACCTACAAAGAAACAATGTTGATGATAGACCTCGTTCAGGTCGTCCTAGAGCCACTACACAAGCCCAGGGTCGAAACATTCGTACACAGGTCCTGTCAAATCAAGACAAACGGCCTATCAGCATTCTGTAAACTTGTAACAAGTTACAGGAATTCGAGTTACACCCCAAACGATTAGAAATCGGCTACATGCAGCCAATTTGCATGCGCGACAACCGCGCGTTGTGCCTCCATTAACTCGCCAGCACAGGCGTCGATGGGTGCGTGTAATGTTCTCAGATGAGTCCAGATTTATAGTAAAGGTATTGATATAATGAAACTGCACACCAAGTTTCATAACTTTAACTTTAGTACTTTATTTTGCAACACCTTCACGGGAGATCAACATATGATCATGCAGCAACGACACAACACGTGTAAATAAACACTATATCGGTATTGAATTCACAAAGATTTTAATAACAGTGGCAATCACTACTGATAACTACACAAACGACACCAGCAAATGTAAAATAACAACCCAACATAATCCAAATTAAAAATAATAATAAAAAAAACTATGTAGTGTTTACAAATACACTCAAAGCCATTGAAAACACAATGCCTAATTGGTGAAATATTTCTGGTAAACATTTTCTTGGGCTTTCCTTATGGCACATAGGTGAAACTTGTGATGGGTCTCTTTTTGTGGAGTTCTGGGTTTGAACCCAATATCAGTTCTCGGTAATCAACTTTGTTCGTGCAAACGCAACACTTGTCTTTTTTCGCGATTTTAAGCAGTCCCATGTCACACGTTTTGCACGTGCATTCCCTTTACTCTGGCCCTTTAAATACAGATCAAAATTACAACATTCATCACTTCGGAAAAATGCCACGCCTTACACAAGAAAACAGGTACAGGGCTATTGGCATGTTGGATCAGGGGAAATCACAGGTAGCCTTCGCCAGACACTTTAATGTCCACCCACCGACCATTGCTCGCCCCAGACAACGCTTCCACGCCACTGGAAGAGTTGCCGATCGACCCTGACCTGGAGCGCCACCTGTAACAACCGCTGCTCAAGATCGCCACATCCGACTACATAATCTGCGCAACAGATTCCAGTCTACTAATGGTACTGCCGGTGTAACTGTTGGAAGACGGCAACGTCAGATCAGCCCTCAAACAGTCCGAAGGCACCTGGCTGCTTTTGGGTAACGCTGCCGTCGACCTTACCAAGGTCAAATCATTTTGCATCGTCATCGACTTGCCAGAGAGCAATGGGCCGCAGATCAAGGGTATCTGCACAACACACCATGGCGACAAGTCATCTTCTCGGATAAGTCCCGATTCAACCTCAGTTTTCCTGCCGACGTCGACATGAACGTTCTGCTCGTAACTGGAGAGGGATCGTTTCGGTTGAGGTGGTGTCATGGTTTGGGCCGCTATCAACGTCAACTGCCGGCCCCAGTCCAAAAATATTGGCAAACAATCCCACAGCGTGTAGTAAGACATCTGTGCCAGTCCATGCCAGGCGACTTCAGGCATGTGTTAGAGCTCAGGATGGACATACCCGATATTGACTTCAGCTGACCCCTACTTTGTTTCATGGTTCTCTGACGTTTCGGTTTTGTGCATTTGTAGTGAATTCTTTTATGAAATTATCCACAGATGCTTGTGATCTCGATTTTGTCAATTGCTATGTACATTTGTAAAAAGTTGTTGCAGTAAATATACTTTGAACTTGGCATTGGGTTTCTAATGGCTTGTGTGTGGTATGAATGGGTAGACGGGCGGACGGATACTGCGGACGTAAATTAAATGTGTCCAACATGAAATGTGGAAGTAAAAATAGTTACCTCTATTATTGTAAACCACTGAATGGGTTAAATCCCCTTTTAATATCATAGTTAAAGCCATAAACATCTGTCTAATGAAGGAATTTCCACTCCAGAATATGGTAGAATTATGGAGTAAACGACATGCTGTGGTAGAATCAAAGTCATCAACTTGACAAGCGTGATGTGATGGCACCCAGGTAGACGATTCGGCTGAAATACGTTGTCTTAGATCATAACATTCCTCACATTTACAGTCTTCAATAGACTTAGACACACAATAACCTTCATAACAACATGGCGTAGGTCCTTTAGGGTCACATAATGCCCTTAAATTAGCACCGGAAAAGTTCACATTACCGCATTTACCATCTTTTCTTTGGTAACTTTCACGAATTTGCCAATTCCGCGCATACTGGGTTCTAAATCTTTGGACCAGTATTTCCACCAATTCCCGCGTAAAGTGAGGTAACGGCTTCCAATAACCACGTGTCATATGAGAAAACACCCCAGGACATACTGTATCCTCGCTAGTATATGTCGAACTGTTACAGCTAAATCCTAATCGGGATAAAGTGTCATAAGGCGAAGTATAAATAATGGATATGATATACATAAAGGAAACCATAAATAAAATCCGAAATCTTGTATTAACAGTCATATTGATGTGTAAGTCAATCAACAATGCACAAATACTTTACTGACCTGTATTAATCAAACAAAAGATTTCCGCAAGACGAAATCGAGTAAGTGAATTTCCTAACACGAAAGACGAAATCGAGTACGTGGACGTCACAAGACGAAATCGAGTAAGAGGATTTCGCAAGGCAAAATCGAGTAAGTGGATTTCGGAAGACGAAATCGAGTAAGAAGATTTCCCAAGGCAAAATCGTGTAAGTGGATTTTGGAAGACGAAATCGAGTAAAAGGATTTCCCAAGACGAAATTGATTAAGTGGATTTCCCAAGACGAAAAAGGAAATCTCCCAAGACGAAATCGAGTAAGTGGATCACCGAAGACGAAATCGAGTAAGAGGATTTCGCAAGGCAAAATCGAGTATTTAAGAGAAGATTTCCCAAAACGAAATCGAGTAAGGGGATTTCCCAATAGGAAATCGAGTTTGTGGATTTCGCAAGACAGAATTGAGTTTGCGGATTTAGCAAGACAAAATCCAGTAACTGGGTTTTCCAGGGGTAATAAACAACGAAGCTGTTTGAAAACGGTCTATGGCCAATGTTACTAAACAACAGGAATAAAACGGTCTATGGCAAATGTTACTAAACAACAGGAATAGATCTAAATTCCAGTAAACACGTATATCTTCTTTTTCAATTGTTAATCATCATTCCGTCCGTATTTCACATATAACAGTTGTTAATTATAAATTGGAGGTACATATTTCCATTCAGTTGTTAACAATGAACCCTTTTCATATATCAGCTACACTAACCATCCAAACTGTCTGAACACCATCCGAAAATGAAGATATAACGAGATAATATTGCTCAACAACGGAATGAAATTCAAAATTCAATATCACATGTTAGAAACTGTAAAAGTATGTTTTCATTGTGTCCCTATTTCATAATAATTGAATAGGCATTGACGTAGTCTGAAAACGACCCAATCTTATGGCTAATCTTTCTATACAGCGGGATGAAACCCAAAATCCAAATGTGATAAACAAATCAGAATACATATTGCCATTCAATAATCAGCCATGTTTCGATCGTTAACTGGCTAGAATTGGTTTAAATAAGTAACAGCCGTCAGGGTAATTAACTTTACATACTATGGTTTGTTGGTGAAATCTGTGTGGAATAAATATAGTTATAATCTGAATATAGACTGACCAATCAATGGATTGGACGGAGCCAGCATATTTTAAATTAATGTATAATTGCTTTATCATTAATACAAAGTTACAAATGTTAAAGATACATTAGTTCGGCGTTTCCCAACCTCTGGGTCGCGACCACTTTTCGTGGGGTCGCGGACTAGTCTGAGAACTTTTTAAAAAATGCTATCTTTTCATGTAATCTATCTATACATCTTCAATAGAAGGCTTGTGTGACAAAGTGATTTATATTTTTCACCAAATTGAACAGTATCATTTAGGTACATAGAACTTAATGAACTCTGCTAGTTTTAACAATATATGATTTTTGACTTTCACCTCTATATAAACTTCTGTTAAGCACGAGCTTATTAAACATCTAATTGATTCAGTATGTTCTTTACAAACTTCGTGTGGTCTTTTCACACGGTCCGCTTTACTTCAAAGGAATATGCATTGGTCAGTAGGCATGCCGTGACGAGATAAAAGAGACAATTGCATGTATGACCATGTGTGCAAGGGTATATATTGAGGAGTTCACAGACAGTTAGGAGAGAGGAGCCGGGAGGAGAAGAAAGGGTTGGACGAGTGTATGGACTCACCCGAGTTCAGCCGCTGTCTTGGCAGAGGGGCGGAATGGTTGATTCAAGATTGTTAGATGTGTTCCTGTCGTAGTATAGTTCCAGTATAGTCTAGTTCTTGTATAGTTTTAGGACCTGTATAGATGTATGTAACTGTAGCTGTTATATGTTCCCGTTGTAAATAAATGATGTATTTACTAAACTGGTCTACTGTTATCACTAACAATAGTGTTACACTTGATCTCGCTTTAACTCCGTACATCTTATCAAGGCTTTCACGTAACACTCTACATTTTTCGTCACTAATTTCGATTGGTCTAGGACCCAGCTCTAGACCTCTCAGATTCCTCGATAGAAAATATCATCGCGGCGAATACCAATTTAGTCTCGCGCTTTCCAACTGAAATATCTACCTGTGATAATCGAGTTGCAAAGTTCAAGGTTAGTTCAATGTCAAGGCTGCTGGAAATTTCCAAAACAAAGAGATTTGCCGCTGCCAATTTTCGTGCAAATAAATACTTCTCTAGTCTCTAAAACAGTTTCGATTGCTTTTCCGTGAGTTTTTCAACTGAAAAAAACACCCTTTAACGGCTGTAAACTTATCTATTCATTGAACATCTTCAGTCACTTATTGATCTGTTCGAACACTACTTCCCCGATCTCGACGTCCAGTCATTCACCGTGGTCCGAGACCCATACAGTGCACCATTAGACGCCATCACCGACAATGATATCGCTCAAGAGGAGCTCGTGAGACTGCAGCAAGATTCCGGAGCTAAATCACTGTATAAGTCCTTGTCTTTGTCCAGTTACGGGGGATCACGTGGGTAAGACGCTGGCTCGCTAGCCTGGAGGTCGAGTGTTCGATCCCTGCATTGGCCGAGAAAGTTCATCAAGATTTTCCGGCGTGGTTTCCCCTTGTCATAGATGCAGGACGGGGGGCCTGACAAGGAAAGCTGCCTAGTCGTTCGGATGATACGAAAAGCCGAGGTCCGGTGTACACATTGGCGTGCACGTAAAAGATCCCCTGACAGTTGGAATTCGATATAAGAGTAGGCCGTAGTGACAATGTCCGGGCAAAATTTCCCTCATAGCACACTGTATGGCGTATGCCCGTCTTCATTAGCCCAGTTAGGCAGGACAGTAGGACGTTAAACCCCATTTCATTTGTCCAGTTACTGGTGCAAAATGCTTGAATCCTATCCACGTCTATCCAAGAATGCAACACGGCTACTCATGCCGTCCGTTATCATACCTATGCGAACAGTCGTTTTCTACAATGGTTGTGATAAAAACAAAATTTAGGAACCGGCTTGAAATAGAAAGGGACATGATTGTCGCGCTGAGTGGCGTTGAGCCATTCATTGAAAACCTGGTCGCTGAGTAAACAATAATAAAAATGAATGATAATGATGTTTCATAGTAAAATGTGACTTTGTTCTTCAAGGGGTCGCGATCTGATCCTGGTTCTGGATTGGGATCGCCATCCAAAAAAGGTTGGGAACCTATGCATTAGTTTAAGAAAGAGTTGGCCATTATTGTTATCATAATTCAAAAATAGATGATAAAAAAAGAAAACATTGAACATTTCAGTCCAATTACTTTATTCTAAACGTTTTTGTCACGGTTGGAAGTTTGGACTAGAAAACAGGCATCAACTGTGTCCGCGCCGTCTACGAGAATTGCCGATCGTTTGATTGACAGACGATAACTCCACCCACATATTCACGATTATCAAGTAACATTCTCAATGACTATGGTTCCGTCGCGTGGTAGGCCTTTCAAAACCAGTTTCCGGAGGTGACGTCAGTGACTAAGGGTAAACGTTAGCTTGGTCAGCCATTTATTGATTTAATTTTAAATGGACGACTGTTTAAATCCAAGCTGTATCCAAGCCATCCGAGGGTCATGTAAATAAAGGTCTAATTAATAATTTCTATAACATCTGAATCCTAAATAAAGACTTGCAATAGGGGGGCGGGGATTGGATGACCGAATGGTTAGCACGCGCGCGCTGTATCATAAGGTCTGCCATTGAGTCAACTGGCGTGTTTTCGATTCCCCGGTTGTACGTGACAAGGAGTAGGGTTGCCTGTCCAACCTCGTGGGTTTTCTCCGGGTGATCCGGTTTCCTACCACTGCTAAAGCAGATTATTGAAATAAAATTGAACCATATGTTAGTCCCGAAATGACCTGGTTTGTGTCGAGTGGTTCCCCCTTGTCAGTGATGCTGACAAGGACAGCTGTGTAGTTTGGAAAAAACGCGGTCCCGTGTACAAATTGGCGTGCACGTAAAATATCCCTTGACAGTTGGAATTGGATATAAGAGTAGGCCGTAGTTCCGCTGTCCGGGCAAAATTTCCCTCATAGCACACTGTATGGCGTATGCCCAGCTCCATTAGCCCAGTTCGGAGCTTAACAGTAGGACGTTAAATTTCATTTCTTATATAAGTGTCACTCAAGAACCTAGATTTCTTGCTCGGTATCATCTAGGTGGGAGTATCACACTGACTAGTCCCTGCAGCATCATTCTTGGAGGCTCTCTCTGGTGATAAGGCTGGAGCTGATGCGGTGGATACTGTCCGAGATGCCAATCTGTCTCGGCCTCTGGTAGCATATTTCTTTGGCATCGTGTTTCTGCTAAACGCACAACTGTACTGTATGACTGCAATGATCGTCGTGTAATTTCCAAAAATCTGACCAGCTTTTATAGTCGCCGTGATCACGTGGTAGAAACGCACGTGCAGTCGCGATACACGTAGTAGACGTGTGGTAAGAACATCTAGTCTCTATAATCCAGAAAAATATTCTACAAATATTAGTCTGGATGCGTTGTCAACATTTGAGAATAATAGATCATCGGCTAGATTATCTAGTCTTTTACATTACCATAGACAAAGTGTTATATCTTCTATTTAATTACCCTCTAATATCTACTTAAGTCTGGTTAATCACAACTATATAATGTTTTCTCTGGATAATCGAATATTGAGAGCCTCGTGTGAGGTTTTGACTTGGTAGAATGGCGGAATAAACATCAAATGAACCATCAATTCTTCTGATTTCAATTTATAAATCTGCACGGCGCATAATCCCCCGCCGTTGTAAGATAACAAAAGTCTAAGGGAGGTAACTAGTCCTAAAACAAGATGTTGACGCCAATGAAATTAATTTAAGAATGCCATTTCAAAAATCCATTTGATTGCATTGCCAGTTCAGTATCCAATACTCTTAATTTATTTAATTGTAAAATTTCCCTCTTCATGGGCCATATATATGTTTTTAAAATTATTCCTAATTCGTCGTCAGGATTCATTTTGTTTATATTAATGTGATTTAGTTCGGGAAGGGGCGCAACTCTTACTTGACTTGGTCAAAGATACTAAAGCTAGCCTATCAGATCAATTTTCTGAATTTTTCCACGGCAAATTCTCTACCTTTCGACAAGGACTCAAAACCAACAAACATATTCACTGAGAAAAAGTTTAATTGTTGCACACTTGAAAACTTTTGTCTAGCAACAGAAGATGAGATAAGAGAAACAATTCAGAAATCAGCCTCAAAGTCATGTTCCCTCGATCCTCTGCCCATGTGACACTCCTGCTTAAAAATCAACCCTTGATCCTAATGTGCTAAAACATTACCGAACTGTGTCGAATTTATCTTTCATTTTGAAAATTGTAGAAAAAATTGTCCTTAATCGTTTTAAATATCATTTTTCTGAAAATAATCTCCAAGAACAATTTTAGTCAGCATACAAAAAACGGCCTTACTTCGTGTTCACAATGATATCTTACGCAGCTTGGATCGGAAGAAACCGGTGTCGCTAGTTTTGTTGGACTTGAGTGCGGCATTTGATACGATAGATCAATCAATCCTACGCGGGAGACTTGAAACTCGATATGGTATATCCGGAGACGCACTGAAGTGGTTTGAGTTCTATCTGAGCGGAAGACAGCAAAGTATTGTTATTGACGCATCTCAATCAGTGCTTAAAGTTCTTGATTTTGGCGTTCCCCAGGGATCCATATTGGGACCGGTTTTGTTCACAGCATACACTGCACCAATTGGGGATATCATCCGTGATATGCGGATGATACCCAGTTATATGTTGAACTTGATCCTTCACCAGATACCACTACATCAGAACTTGAAGCATGCATTGAACGAATTAGAATCTGGATGCACTGCACTTTTTTTTAAATTGAACGATGACAAAACAGAAAATATAATAATTGGGAATAAAAAGAACATTGACATCAACCATGTGACTATTGGAAGCACAGCCATAATCCCATCGAACTGTGTCAGGAATCTTGGTGCGTTCTTTGACTCTTCTTTTGATATGAAAACCCATGTATCCAGGCTGTGCAAAAAGGCGAACTTTCACCTGTATAACATTGGGAAAATTCGATCCTATATTGAACTTGATGCCACTAAAATGTTAATAAATGCTTTTGTTATGTCATCTTTAGATTATTGCAATTCATTACTGTATTCTCTTCCTAAAAGTCAGCTACAGAAAATCCAGAATAAAGCAGCTCGAATTGTATCTCTCACCAAACCATCTGACCATATTACACCTGTTCTAAAACTGTTACATTGGCTACCGGTTAATCAACGCATCATTTTCAAAATTAACACAATCACTTTCAACTGTTTAAATGATCCTTTGGCACCATCCTATTTATCCGATTTGATTTAACAATATGTACCTTCTCCTTCCTTACGTTCATCTCATAAAAAAACAACTTGTATGTGCAGTATAGAAATTAAAATTTGGTGAGAGAGCTGTTGCGTACGCAGCACCAAAAAATGGAACAAATTGCCTCTGGTTATATTTAAAGGACGTCTAAAAACCCCGTTTCTTTCCCAAACCTTTGAACTATAATTTAAATGCTTCAATTTCCATTTGTATATTGTAACTTGGCTATTCCTGTGTATTCTTTTGTTGTCCCCCGCCTTTCAGATAAGCAATCTGATTGGTTGATGCTTTGGGGCACGATAACTTTGGTTTTAATTAAGTGAAAGTCATGAAACTCCGAGTATAGATTCATTATATCTTTACCTTGATTAATTTCGATGATGAGAATTTTCTGCTTAGGCTAAGGAGCGATAAACAATTTGATTGGTCAAGACTTTGGAACATAACAACTCTGCTTTTAATTAAGGTATGCTTTTAATTAAGGTAGAATGTTTAAACTTGATGTATATGTTCATTAGGTGAATGTCTTGACTGAGTTCAATGATTAACATTTCGAGCTTAAAGCAAAACAGCGCTAAGAAATTTCATTGGTCGATGCTTTGGGACAAGATAACTTTGATTCTATCTGATAGAGAGTGATGAAACTTGGTGTATAGTTGATAATCACTTTAATTGCTTGATACTTTTGAAAAAATAAATGTGCGATTAATTAATATGTGTCATCTATTTATTTTAGGATTTCGGCGTGGGGCATCAGCCTCTCTGTTGGCTTGTTTGTATATACATACATGTATGTTTTTTTTTAAATAATCATATTAACGTTGTAAAGCGCCACAGAGCTGTCAGACTGACTGAATGTTCCGCGTTATAGAAAACGCTTATTATTATTATAATCGACCACAGTAAAACCAAACCCCCGGTTACGCATGGGCAATGGACTTTTCGTCAAATATTGACAACGGTTCCAGACCCTCCGTACGTTGAAGAGGAGGAGGTCCTGGGTGACCGAGACTAAAGAACCCAATAAGAGTTGTTAAAGCTCCACGGGTTCGGCGAGGATCGCCGTTGCCAAGCCAATAGATCTCGGGACGGACGCGGTATAATCGGGCAGACCGCGGTATAAGAACGCGGCTTTTTTCAAGTTTGTATTTTTTTAGGACATTTCCTCGCGTTGTGTTCACGTACGGTCACAGCAGCGCTGTAAGGACGGCACCCGGTCTGACGGAGGCATAAAGGAACCTTAATCGCGCTCTTTCATATAAAATGGATACGTACATGCGTCATAGAATGAAATCAAGGAAATTGTCCAGGCACTTCCTTCTCCATGGCAGATCATTTTTGGATTACCAGACCGATTTTAATCTGAAAGGTACCTAATTAGTCCCTTTCAGATACAATCGGTACCTAATTAGTCCAGGAGCCACGGTGGCTAGGTGGTTAAGATGCGGGCTCGCTAGCCTGGAGGTCGGGTGTTCGATCCCTGCATTGGCCGAGAAAGTTCACTGGGATTTTCCGACGTGATTTCCCCTTGTCAGTGGTGCAGAACGGAGGGCCTGAGAAAAACAGCTGCCTAGTCGTTCGGATGGGACGGAAAACACAGGTCCTATGTACACATTGGCGTGAACGTAAAAGATCCCTTGACAGTTGGAAGTCGATATAAGAGTAGGCCATAGTGCCGCTGTCCGGGCAAAATGTATGGCGTATGCCCGTCTTCATTAGCCCAGTTCGGAGCAAAAAGGTAGGACATTAAACCTCATTTCATTTCCATTCAGGGAACTTAAAAAATCTCTATAGATCTATAGTATTGTACGTATACAGAATAACATCTGGTATGTTTCTTTTTACGTATACAGAGTAACATCTGGTATGTTTCTTTTTAATTTCTAACCTGAAAATTGTACACTAACATGTTTACTCGGCAATAAGTGAAATAGCTAAAGAATAAACGTTCCTCTGGAATTATCCAATACGAAGTTTCGGCACCTGTTGTGCTTTGTCTATACTTTGTAAATGTTCGATCGTCTTAAAACCATTGCAAGAACAAAAACGGACAAAAAAACCCGCAAGAACTAGTCAGATGGTAATCAATATCCGGAGCAATATGAAGTCTACTAGAAAATGTTGGTGATAATAAATGTTATATTAGAAATTAACTTGATGGTTTATGTGGTATCGTTAAAGAATAAAACACGTTGTCATCCATGCCCGGGTCAATATGAAGTCTACAAGAAAATGTTGTTATATTCCAATAGTGTGCGTGTTTATTTACACCGTCATTAATATCGTGTGGTTTTATAGAGGATTCCTTCGACCAGATTTTAATTTATACAATTCTAGATATTCCAGCAAGGACACAGAATGCCCGGGAGTTTTATCACACATGGTAAAAGGGTACTGGAAGCCACTCCCTCGTCTCTCGCAGGAATTTATAGGAATATTAATTGACAGATTTAGAACACAAGTCGCACGGAATTATCGTATTCCTGAAAGTTACCAAATGAGGAATGGTTCATGTGGTAATATTAAATTTCCAGGCACTGTGTTTAGGGCATTATGTGACCCTAAAGGACCTACGCCATGTTGTTATGAAGGTTATTGTGTGTCTAAATCAATTGAAGACTGTAAATGTGAGGAATGTTATGATCTAAGACAACGTATTTCAGCCGAATCTTCTACCTGGGTGCCATCACATCACGGTTGTCAAGTTGATGATTTTGATTCTACCACAGCGTGTCGTTTACTCTATAATTCTACCATATTCTGGAGTGGAAATTCTTTCACCAGGCAGATTTTTATGGCTTTAACTATGATACTTAAAGGTGATCTGAGACATTTAGTTGTTACAAATAACACAGGTAAATATATAAAAGGTTTTTTTTCAAATAAGACAGGTAATTATATAAAGGTGTTTTTGAAAGAAGTGGCTCATGTCCGCCCTACATACGAGCAGCACAGACCAACAGCATTGATCCACAGCCCTGCCCATCACACCCTCCTTGTTAGTGTGTGTGAGAGAGAGAGTGTGTGTATCATAAGACCTGTCATTGAGTCAACTGGCGTGGTTTCGAATCCCCGGTTGTACGTGACAAGGAATAGGGTCGCCTGTCCAAACTCGTGGGTTTTCTCCGCGTCCTCCGGTTTCCTCCAACTGCTAAATACCCCTACGCGCAAACGAACTATTAAAATAAAATTAAACCATATGTTAGTCCCGAAATGACCTAGTTTGTGTCGAGTTGACGTTAAACCCCATTTCTCTCTCTTCTCTCTCATCACAATGCGCTTGTATCCGTTTCCACAAGGGGGATCACGTGGCTAAGTGGGTAAGACGCTTGCTCGCTAGCCTGGAGGTCGGGTGTTCGATCCCTGCATTGGCCGAGAAAGTTCATCCAGATTTTCCGCCGTGGTTCTCCCTTGTTAGTGATGCAGGACGGAGGGGCTGACAAGGAAAGCTGTCTAGTCGTTCGGATGGGACGAAAAACCGAGGTCCCGTGTACACATTGGCGTGCACGTAAAAGATCCCTTGGCAGTTGGAATTCGATATAAGAGTAGGTCGTAGGCAAAATTTCCCTCATAGCACACTGTATGGCGTATGCCCGTCTTCATTAGCCTAGTTCGGAGCAAAACAGTAGGACGTTAAACCTCATTTCATTTCCGTTTCCACAATACACCAAGGTGATTGTGAGTGTACTTTACTTTCATAAATCTTAACGCTATTTAACCGAGATTTCGCCTAATAGTTTGGATGCAGCTATGTCGGGTGTGGCGCCAGGCAGGGTAAGCTTACTCTTCCGGACACCTGTTACCACTGTTTGTCGTGTACAGTCCATATGCTGATTACACTATTTTGCCTTATTACACTATTTTGCCTATACCGTTTTTTTAGGACTTCGAATTTTGTCTAATGGTTTGTATTGTTCGTACTTGGTTTTATTTTATTTCTGGTGGACGTACTGAACATTTGTTTATTTGAGATATTCCTGAAATTCCATATTTAAAATAGACTGGGTTTTAACTCCTTACCCTAAACCAGGTTATTCCGGGACTAATACAATATATTTATGTTTCATTAATTCGAGGCCCAGTAATTATACAAGATCTAAATCTGCCCATTGGAGGTCTTTCTTTTGGGCCTGAAATGTTATATAAACTTTTAAAGATACATTATGGGAGATTCGGTAACGAGTTGGCAGTTCTCACTATAATAGTTAAAAAGTAGATAATGTAAAGGCAATTTGGGGAAAATGTCATTCAAATTGATCCACTATGAACCGAGAACTAAGCGACTGAAATTCCCATAAGCCTCGGTCATCATTACTAAAGTCAGTACGATAAACAGCATAGTCTCGATTATCCATTTAATCGTTTAATCGAGAAGGAAAGTTATACAGTAAATCGGCTTACAATCCACTAAAGATCGCAGGCTAGCGCTGCCATCTAGAGTTGATTATGGTCTGGATAGGTTAATTAATGTCTAATTAATAATTTAGATAAGATTTCAGGCCTAAAGAAAGACCTGAAATAGGCAGATTTAGCTCTTGCATAATGTATGTTTAATTAGACATTAATTAACATGAAAAGACCTTAATCAACTCACGATACCATCTTATGTGTCGGATTTACACTGGATTTGAATCCGATCTGCTGCTCAACGGTCATTGATGATTAAATCCAAAAATGGATAATCGAGACTATGTTTTTTTTTATCGTACCGACTTTAGTAATGATGATCGAGGCTAGGCCTAAAATTCAGTCGCTAATATGTCGGTTCAGAGTGGATGCAATTTGAATGAAATTTGCACCATATTCCCTTTACATTATCTTGTTTTAACTATTGTAGTGAGAACTGTCAGCTCTTTATCTAATCTGTCATAATACCCCTTTAACCAGCTTAGCCACCGTTACATCAGAGGTGTTTATGAAAAAATACATGCATAATTTTCGCGACACGCTCCGCTCTGCAAGACACATTGTGTGGCCTTGGACATCACTCGCCCAACAAAAGACCGTATAATGGAGCAGTAGAAGTATTCCAAAAGCCTTCAAAGACGCCTTCAATATATCAAAAATCTTCACCACTCTAATAAAACGGGTTCGTTGATGTTTGTTTTTCGTACAACGTATAGTCGTTCGGGTGGGAAGATAAACATTTCCAAAATGATCGATACTGTTTGGGGTTGCAAATTTCAATTTAACATACTCTTTAAAAGCTATCAATATTTTTTTGTTTCAGTTATGGAGAAATGTGAAGGCTTGAGTAACATGTTTGGCTGGTGTCAAAAATCAACAGAGACGAACCCCATTGTTTGTAATGGAACTGTCAAGATGACGTTCATTTCTAACCCTCGTACTTCAAAGACACGGCATGTTTATGGAGCTATCGATGATCTCCGTGATAAACCAAGAACCATGATATTCCTGGGATTAGGTATCCATGACAACTACAATTATACAAAGATTCTGAATGATTATATCCATCCAATATGGAAGCATTATAATGCTAAAAAGTCTGTATGGCCCAAATTCATGTGGGCAGCAGCTCATGCACCTGGTCTTCTGCAGAATCCACATGGTCCGTTTCAACTATATAAACACTGTGCAAGTTATAATAAATGGCTAAATCCTCGTTTAGAGAAATTAGGAGTACCTGTTTTTGATACGTTTAATATGACTGACGGTGTATCTAGTCACGATGGATGCCATTACGGTATGGCTGTAAATATGTTGAAGGCCAGAATCTTTCTTCATTATATAGCCGAATTACAACGTAAGGGACAATGGTGACAATACTAAAAATAATAATATCTTAAAACATGGGAGTGATTAAATTATACAATAACATTGAATTAATTGTCCATGCAACACACAGATGAAAGATTTCACTATGGGTACCAATGTTGTTCCAACATAGTCTGCTTTGGCTTTTGACGACTTTAAAGAACTATGGTTTGCGAGAATATGAGAACAATTTGGTAATTAATTACAATTAAAAATATACAGGAAGAGTTTCACAGATGATAATAAAACAAATTTACCGACGAGCAAGAACAAGCAATAAACTGACCCAAAGCGTACTATCCAGTCACAAGTGAACAAGTGAGAGGGCGTATTTTGCAAGGCTAAATCTATTTGTTACTGCCAGCTCATTTTTTGTCAAGGTCGTTGAGATGTAAATAAGGTTAGGGCACGTGAAAGTTGGCGAGATTGTAGATTAGGGTTAGGGTAAGCATTGGGGCTAGGGTTAGGGTTGGGATTTCGACCTATGACCAAAAATTGAGTCGGCTTTATTATTTAGTACTAAGTATTTCACAGCACTCTGCATTTGTGTCTTTTTACAAATTGATTGATTTTGTATGATTTTCCTGTATTTAGAAAAAGTTAAAGGGCATTATCTTAATTACGACAAAAGCTAGAACTTAGGTGATAAACACTTCCTGTTTCGCATTTAGAGGGCTGTTATTGTCCAATAGACATGTCCTGAGATCATTAGGACCCAAGACGCGTTAGCGTCGCGGGTTCTAATGTAAAATCTCAGGACATGTCTATTGGACAATCATCCTAAACTTAGGCTGCCTGTCTACAGCTAGATCCGCATGTGAACAGGCCTTAAGCTAATTACCCGACATTTTAATTCCTACATCGACGATTTTAGTCGAAAACACTGAGTATGCTTTTAGTAATTTTTAGAAATATTTATTTCTCTTCTATCGTCATATTGAATGAAATTAAATATGTTTATTTAGCCGCTGTGTGTATGAAAGATGTCAAACTAATCAGCCGAATCACAAAATAGTCCTCTAATTATTCAATATGGCGGCGCCAATAAAAGGTTATTTCACAGAGGCGGTTTTGTTTGCGAAGACAAATTTAAGAGTATCTAACCTTGTTTTGAAAGATTAACAGATTGAAACTCTAAAGACAGTTTACAATGGCAAAGAATGTATTGCAATATTACCCACTAGCGCATAATATATATTTTACCGGATTGGCAGAACTTGGCATTTTGCTAAAGACATGTGTTTACATAAAACACGTGCTTGATCGGGTTATTTTTACTTTGTTGTGTACACAAAGCTGTAGTCCAGTCGATAAGTCCCGCCCAAAAATGATCACGTGAGCGTTTTAAATGGCGGCTAACTAGGGCAGTGATCATAATGACGTATGACGTAGATGGATCGCTGCGTGCAGTTTGTTGGACAATAACACCCCTCTAAATGCGAAACAGGAAGTGTTTATCGACATTGTAACATGCTATTTTAGGATTTTAAAAGAAATTACTAAATACGCCATACAGTGTGCTATGAGGAAAACTTTGCGCCACTCTCCGGGCAAATTTCCTTCATAGCGCACGGCATAGCGCATACCCGTCTTCATTAACCCAGTCAGTTCAGAAAACTCTGACGTTAAACCCCATTTCATTTTAAAAAAAAACACAACCTAATATATTATATTATGACGATTGTTTTAAAAACATTTTACACAGTAACTCTATTCACTGCTACCATTTCATGACAATAATGATTGTTCCAATGGACTCTGGGGAGCCACGCTGGCTAGGTGGTTAAAACGCTTGCTCGCTAGCCTGGAGGTCGGGTGTTCGATCCCTGCATTGGCCGAGAAAGTTCATCAAGGATTTTCAAACGAGGTTTCCCCTTATCAGTGGTGCAGAACGGAGGGACTGACAAGGACGCTGTCTAGTCCTTCGGATGAGATGAAAAACCGAGGTCCTGTGTATATATTGGAATGCACGTAAAAGATCCCCTGACAGTTGGAATTCGATATAAGAGTAGGCGATAGTGCCGCTGCCCGGGCAAAATTTCCCTCATAGCACACTGTATGGCGTAGGCCCATCTTCATTAGCCCAGTATAGGAGCAGAAAAGTAGGACGTTAAAGCCCATTTCATTTCAGTGGACTTTGGTGGAACTAAATATACCTTTCTAATTGTAAAAAATATATATTAATGTCAAAATAATTCAGTTTACGTTTTATAATATTTTTAAATCAAGAATGTTACGTTGATCGATATGTTGAATATGTATAGGACCATACATAGTTTCTTAAAACTCTATTTCGATAATCCAATTTTATTGAGGTTTGCAGCAGCTGCCGTAGATTTTTGATTTTTTTTTATCTAAAATCAAATAATCAGTAGCCTTGTTATTGATGCTCATATAGAAGCGGGGAGAGAGAGAGAGGGGTGTTAACGCCCACTGGACACAAACTAGGTCATTTCGGGACTAACATATGGTTCAATTTTATTTTAATAATTCGCTTGCGCGTAGGGGTCTTTAGCAGTGGGAGGAGGACCCGGAGAAAACCCATGAGGTTGGACAAGCGACCCAACTCCTTGTCACGTACAACCGGGGAATCGAAACCACCCCAGTTGATTCAATGAGAGACCTTATGATACAGCGCGCACGTGCTAACCATTCGGTCATAAGTAGTAGTTGAACGATAGTCGTTTACGTCTGCTTTGTGTAGCACTATGGGTCGTTTGACAGACGTGGAGAGCGGTCGACGCTAAACCCGATCGCAACAACCGGCGTATAACCCATGCATCGTGTCTTATTACATATTTAGGAACAGGTCTTTATCGTCTAGGTGGTTTTTTTTGGGCTCTGGCCTGGCTCCCTTGATAGTCTAGGTGTTGGTTGGCTCTGGCCTGGCTACTGTTGCAGCTTTCTTCTTGTAGGACTTCGCCATTGTGTTTCTTACGATACCGACTCAAATAATTAACAGGAACAACGATAGTTTTTTTTGCTATACGTTTTTATGTCACAACAGTTACACAATAGTCTGCATTACAATATTTAAAATTAACATCTCCCCTTCTCTGAACCCCACTCCTGTGAAAGTCTAACCCGAGGAGACCACTACATCGTGAAATGGTCGTCTATAGAACCCAATGCGTGTCTCAAATAACTGTATGGCTGGTATGGCCTGCGGTGTGAGCTCTGCCGAATGCTATTTCCACACCCTCTTTTATAGGTACCAATTCTTTTGTCTGTGGTGTTTACGTAAAAGACTGATAACAGCTAAATTCCAAATATGGAATGGACATGCACCCCAGCCTGGATATCGACAGGGATTGTTACCTAATTTGGTCAACAAATATGATATATGTTTTATAGCAAAGAAACATGTAAATGACCAACATGTTCATTAATCTATAGAGCAGTTAACTTATCATAATAACCAGCATATACTTTCTATGTTTTTGGTTATAAAGTTAGAATCAATAATATGAAAGATAACGCTATTGTTTCAGCTAGCATATTTCTCCATTCTTTGTCTCTAGACCCCATGTCCTGTTATTGTCACAACATTTCATAAAATCATAAAAAATTTAATTTGAGTTTAAAAAATAAACTTATACCATAGCTAATATTTTGGCCATGGAGAATAACCATAATATGATTTTACATATGCACAAATCAGCTTCAACTACGGGTTTTGGGGGTGGGGGATGGTGGTGTTGGCTTCTCCAGAAATTTTTGAAAAATTGACTGCTGGAAATGCAGTCTGGTAGTATTCAGGCATTGGTCGTCGAGATAAATAGATCTGACCAGATACCGCCTAACGCCTGACCACTAGTTTAGCCGACCACAGCGGAAAGTGTCAAACGAACGGACTTCCGAACCTCGACGAAGCCCCGTCATGAGTGCCAAAGTAGCAAGCCCTTACGGAGGGTATGGTGGGCCATCTCCCAGCCCAGAAATTTTCTAAAAATAGACAGTCTGACAGTATTTCAGGCACTGATCGTCGAGATAAATAGAGCTTACCAGATACCGTATGTCGCCTGATCACTAGTTTATCTGAGCCCAGAGAGGAAAGTGTCAAACGAACGGAGTGAGTGAATCAAGATGAATGAATATCTTCGCGACGATATTTTGAGAAATAGATTGCCGGAAATGCAGCCTGGCAGTAGTTTAGACACTGATCGTCGACATAAACAGAGCTGACCAGATACTGTTCGTCGCCAAATCACTAGATTATCCAATCAGAGAAAGGTGTGTCAAACGAACAGAGTGAGTGTATCAAAATGAAAGAATATTCTCGTCGCGTTGAACCTATACCCAAAAACTTTGAGGATCGTAAAAAGCACTCCTCGAGTGGTTCACGTGGTATTGTTTATAGTAGGTTTACAGCAGGATGGGTTCGGTAAGAAATCACTCAGACTCTACAACATGCAAGTCTATGACTGAGTGGGAACGTGGTATTTAATCACCATAGAAGGTATTGATTACCGAAACGTATCACAATTTTTATTGTATTCTAATTCATAAAAATGAAATGAAATGGGGTTTAACGTCCTACTGTTCGGCTCCGACTAGGCTAATGAAGACGGGTATACGCCATACAGTGTGCTATAGGGGAAATTTTGCCCGGGCAGCGGCACTATAGCCTACTCTTACATAGAATTCCAACTGCCAAGAGATCTTTTACGTGCACGCCAATATATACACGGGATCTCAGTTTTTCGTCCCATCCGAACGACTAGACAGCTGTCCTTGTCAGGCCGTCCGTCATGCTCCACTGAAAAAGGGAAACCACGTCTGAAAATCCAGATGAACTTTCTCGGCCATTCTGATTTGTGTTTTTAATTCGGATAGGCCTATTATGGATAATATTAAGTTAGAGATTTGACTACTTGATGGATAATCCACGGCTGGCGGCGGTACATGATCAAAGTATGATGTGGGCGTATCAACAAAAGATTTTAATATTTGTAATTGAGTCCCAACTGAACACTGACATGTTGAGAAGGTTTAGATTTTGACCTAGGATAATTCTCTGATTGTCAAGTCACAAGATTATTGTGAAATTAGAAAGATATATCATAGGTCCGCTTTCTATGTACGCGTGTCGTCAGCGGAAAAAACGCAGTGTTTCCGAGCGAGATTTTTTTATTTGTACCGAAAAATTGCTGAAAACTTTGTGGAATCCCACGTAAATGACGTCACAATCCTTGTCCCGTGGATTCGAAACCACGCTAGTTGACTCAATGACAGACTTTATGATACAGCGCCCACATGCTAACCATTCGACCATCCAACCCCTCAGAAATAAATATAAGACAACTTGTTTGCGATATCACCTTCGGTAGATGTGGACGTTAAACACTAAGAAGAACACCAACGAATAATGATAATAGAAAATATATTTATTATGGCTTATTATCGCTGATAAATTGTTTATCACTATCAACTATTCTGTAGTGAAGCATAGGCATAGGGGCCCAATCTCAGTTGGGGGCGGGGGGTGAGGCTATTTGCCCGAAAATTTTCTTCAACTAAAATGAGTTTTCCAAAATGTTATTACTCGAGGTCTTAAGTAGCATAGTATTTAAAGCGTAAACCGTGAGCGATTTCACTTTACAAGTATATTTCTATGATATGTGATCTCATTCTCTGATGTTTGTGCTCGAAAAACGGAAATACATTGCCCGAGAAATGGGCGGTTCACTTAATCGGGGGCTGCCCCTCCCCCGCCCGGCTCCTCTACGCCTATGTAGTCAAGTGCTATTAACCACTATAACTATTCTACAGTCGAGTGTTGTTTATCGCTATAGAGAGAGAGAGAGAAATGGGGTTTAACGTCCACTCGACATTTCGGGACTAACATATTGTTTAATTTTATTTCAATAATTCGCTTGCGCGTAGGGGTCTTTAGCAGTGGGAGGAAACCGGAGGACCCGGAGAAAACCCACGAGGTTGGACAGGCAACCCTACTCCTTGTCACGTACAACCGGGGATTCGAAACTACGCCAGTTGACTCAATGACAGGCCTCATGATACAGCGCGCGCGTGCTAAAAATTCGGCAATCCAACCCCCCGTTTATCGCTATAACCATGGACGCTTTTTATAAGGTCTATCTATAACTAGTGTGTAGTCGAGTGATCTTTAAAGGCCCAATACCACTCTTGTTGTAACTGAATAATATGTCCCAATCTCTATTCTGGTCAACAAATTGTACTATTTTACAATATTCCAATTAATTGGTGATACAAATTTCATCTTAACCAACCTAATTTAAAAAATTGGAAAAATTCAACTAAATGATTTGAAAAGCCTAACGTTACCCTTTTCAAATGTGACTTCAATTTAAAAATATTTTCGAAATAGGATGTAATGGATAATTTACACAACAGGTAGGACACTTAAATATCTAGTACTTATAATAAGGCTATTATTCATTTTCTGGAGCTGTCAAGCCAGCAAGAGTGTTATTGTCCCTTTAAGAGAGAAGAGGGGTAGTCGATGAAAACGCCTCTGTATACCAATTTAAAAACGGCACTACTATTATTCCTCCTTTGAAAATATGCCCATTAACGTTTAGTCGCAATGATGTTGTATGGATGTGGCATTCTAGTTATACCCAGAACACCCTGTAAACATGGCGGTGGTTCTGTATCCGGCAAACTAAATGTAAAGGACTGCAACATCATAGTCATGAAGATATAGAGTTCCATTCTAGCTAGGGATTCTCCCAGACACATCCGTTTTCCTGAAAGAATATTAAAAGGAAAACGTCAAATATAAGGGTATGGCGACAGACGACTGACACATTGACTGCATTAGCCATGCTGAAAACTTATGCTACCTCTAATGACAAGATGCTCTATCCAGGAGAGCCAAACCTGTTTGGGTAGGAATGGGATCAGTGCTGGATTAACCATAAGGCAAATAAGGCACGTGCTTTAGGGCCAGGCAAAAATCCAGGCCACAAAATAATAAAGTAAAAGTCGTAATCTAGCTAGGCAGTGAATGGGAATATGTAGGCTACTTATAGTAAATACGGTCACTGTCAATGTTCTGAATTTGTTTGTAATAAATTTTCTGTTGCTAAATTTAACTTAATTCCTTTTGTCAATGAGCCCAACATATCTGTATTTTCAGGCCACCTATCAAAATGTGCCTTAGGGCCAGCAGAGCCTTAAAGGACAATATTGGTGCCAGTCATTATCACTTATGTGATAGAGGTGGTTAAACACATTCCAAATATAATTCTATCTCTGAGATCATTGCTACGATAGCTGAGTAATACAGTTTTTCTGAATCGGAAGTGACGAACGCCAAAGGAAAACACGAGTCGCCTCTCTAAATAACTGATTGATGTTTACGAATGATAACGGATATACGGGCGAATTTCTGCTCACTAATAATTCCTTCGGAGACCAAAAGTTATTATATGGGACTGTAAGAGGATACCTGACAATTCAATAAAGTAATTGAATGTCATTAGATAAGAGAACACGAGAAAAATAGAAATAGTCCGTACATTCCCTTGTTTATATTCATTCTATACCTTATAAAAACATGGTAATGCACGGACTTTTTCTGTTTTTCTTTCGTGTTCACTTCTCTAGTGACAGTCAATTCTTTTTATGAATTGTCAGATATCCTCTCACAGTCTCACACAACAACGTTTGGTCTTCAAAGGAATTTTTAGTGAGCAGAAATTCGCCCGTATATCCGTTATCATTCGTCACATCAGTCAGTTATATAGAGAGGCGTCTCGTGTTTTCCTTTGGCGTTCGTCACTTCCGATTCAGAAAAACTGTATTACTCAGCTATCGTAGCAATGATCTCTGAGATAAAATTATATTTGGAATGTGTTTAACCAGTTCTATCGCATATGTGATAATGACTGGCACCAATATTGTCCTTTAATCCGGCACTGAATGGGATGTCGAAAAAAAAAAATTCCGCAGTCCCAACCCATGTCAATATTGATCCTGATTATTATTTACCTAATGAAAATGGAATATGAGCATCAACTTTCAGAAGTTTTGTTTCCTTGTCTAAAAATCTAGCTGGTCGAAATACTTCGGGGTCACCCCACAATTCTTTGCTTTTGAGAACCGATGAGAGATTGGGTAAAATAATAGCGGTGGCTGGAATACGGTAACCATTAATTACTGTTTCCTCGGCAACAGCATGTGGTACAGAGAGCGGAACTACGTCACCAAGACGCTGAACTTCCAACATGGTGGCCTCTGTTAATGGTAATGACTTCCTGTCATTGGTTGTCGGTTTCCGGTCACGGCCGATAACTCTGTCTATTTCCTCCTGTACCACTGTTTGCTGCTCGGGATGGAGAGCGAGAAAGAGTATCGCCCATCTTAATGTTGTCGTTGTTGTTTCAGTTCCGGCGAAGAAGAACTCACTGACAATTTGAAGTAAATTTTCATCTGAAAAAGAAGAATGTTTATTTTTTAACACTTACATGCTAATCAGATGTTTCCAATGTATCAGGTCATTTCGAGACTAACATATGGTACAATTTTATTTCAATATTTCGCTTGCGCGTAGGGGTCTTTAGCAGTGTGAGGAAACCGGAGAAAACCCACGAGGTTGGAGAGGCGACCCTACTCCTTGTCACGTACAATCGAAACCACGCCAGTTGACTCAATGACAGACCTTATGATACAGAGCGCACTTACCATTCGGCCATCCATCCCCCCCCCCTCAGAAAATAGAACATTTGAAATCAGTGTTAGAGTTAGGAATGCCAAAGATCTGATATGTATACTTTATTTAGTTACCAGATGCAAGATACGAAAATGGGTTATTAGCAGGCTACAAATTCTCGCTGTGAGTCTAGTTCTTTTTGTAGCCTAAAATACTTACAATGAAACGTTGGCATTTCTTCGGATTCTCTGTGTTCCATTTGTTTAAGAAAAACATCCACAAAATCTCTCAGGTTATTCTCATCAAACGTTTGTTGATGTTCTTGAACGTGTCTGGCGATAAAACCTCTTCGAATCTTAACGTCAGCTTTCATAAGAGCTCGGTTAGCAAAAAACTGAAGGAGTGGAAAGAAATGCATGAACGCCGTATTGCCCACTTCTTTGGCACTGCTATGCATCACTTGTAAATAACTTAGGAATTCTGGGTCATCATGGGCAAAGCCTTTACCAAAGACAACATTACATATAACATTGCAAACCGACGCTCCTATCACGTGATTAGGATCAAAGGGTCGGCCATTTTGTTCTGCAAAGTTATTCAAACATTTCTGACATTCATTCGTTATTCTGTCAAACATCTGAACTCGACCCATTCCAAAATCTCTTAAAGTACTCAGAGCAAATCGTCGTTGTTCTTTCCACTTCACTCCATTGGTGCTGATAATTCCTGAATAATATAAAGAGACTATTCGTTGGGTTAAGGCAGTGATTCTCAACCAATGTGCCACGGGATCTTCCTAAGTGCGCCGCGAAATGTTCAACAGCACGCTACGTAAATGCGAAAAACCACTTGACCCCAATGAGTATTCACTGGTGTCTACTGAAAAGTTTATAGCTGTGTTTTTCTTTATTTAGTTTGAATCATGCTATGTCTGTGTCTGCCGTCTACGACTTGTCATGTTTTTTTCTTTTATACAAAATTCAAATATATATATATATATTTAGCCAGGTGTGCCGCTATTTTTTTCATGTGTTCGAAGGTGTGTCGTGGGCAAGAAAGGGTTGAGAACCACTGGGTTAAAGACTCAATACCACTCTTGTTGTAACTGAATAATATGTCCCAATCTTTATTCTGGTCAACAAATTGTACTATTTTACAGTATTCCAATTAATTGATGAAACAAATTTCATCTTAACACACCTAATTTAAAAAATTGGAAAAATTCAACTAAATGATTTGAAAAGCCTAACGTAAACCTTTTCAAATGTGACTTGGATTTTAAAATATTTTCGAACCCTCTGGACAAGTAAAATAGGATGTAATGGATAATTTACACAACAGGTAGGACACTTAAACATCTAATACTTAGAATAAGGCTAATATTTATTTACTGGAGCTTTCAAGTCAGCAAGAGTGTTATTGTCCCTTTAAAGGTCACCGGAAAAGGTTCATATTTTTTTTTAAATAAAGCAAGTAATTATGTCAACATATCCTTTCCATAAGTATAACACGAACCCGAATGTCAATATTACCTGCAACAGGTAAATTCCAACATTACTAATTTCCGCCATTCTTCGTGGGTAGTCGTAACTTTCCGTATCTGTGACGTCATTTTAGTCTTTCTGCTCACATTTTAGTCTATATTTCTATGTGCAGAAGGACTAAAATGACGTCACGGATTGCTTATTGACGGAAAGATACGACTACCAACGGAGAACGGCGGAAATAACTAATGTTGAAATTTACCTTTTGCAGGTAATATTGACATTCGGGTTCGGGTTATACTTATGGAAAGGATATGTTGACATTATTACTTGCATTATTTAAAAGAATTATGAACCTTTTCCGGTGACCTTTAAGGTTATCCTGAGAATGATCAGTTAGTGGTGAGGGCGAAGGTATACTCGGTATCCCTATCGTTCCGTTCTATTCCAATAAACCATGGGTTCATCCATGGGGTATTCACGAATTCAAATTATCTGCCATTGATGATTTCATTGGCCACGTTGGTTGATTCTACAAACCAGTCATAAAACAGTTTACATAAACGTCATGAGGTGATGGTTTGCGTTCTCCAAAATACGGCAGCTTGTGTGCTCAATTACACAGAAAGTTTGCAAGATAAACAAAGTCTCGATTATCCATTTTTGCGTTAAATTATCCATCACAAAATGTATTTAAATCCAGTAAATATCGCAGGCTAACGATGGTATTGAGAGTTGATTATGGCCTGGATAAGTTAATTAATGTCTAATTGATAATTTAGATAACATTTCAGGCCCAAAGAAAGACCTGCAATAGGCAGAATTACCTCTTGCATAAATACATGTTTAACATTTGCATACCGTACTTAAATCAATATTATCTTTACAAATCAGATATTTGTCATATCAGATTTGTAAATTGTATATTATTTGTTTAAAGATACATTAGTTAAGAGCTAAATCTCACTATTGCAAGTCTTTCTTTAGGCTTCAGATGTTATAGAAATTATTAATTAGACGTTTATTTACATGCCAAGCTCAAAATGAACTCTGGAGACCCGCGGATGGCTTGGATACAGCTTGGATTTAAACAGTCATCCATTTAATAATTAAATCAATAAATGGCTGACCAAGCTAACATTTACCGTTAATCACTGACGTCACTCCCGGAGACTGCCGATGACAGGACTGACAATCGAGGGTACCGTAGCCATTGAGAATGTTACTTGATAATCGAGAATATGTGGGTGGAGTTATCATCTGTCAATCAAACGATTTGCAATTCTCGGAGACGTTACGGATACTTGATGCCTATTTCTAGTCCAAACTTCCAACAGTGATAACGTCGTTCAGAATAAAGTAATTTGACTGAAATTTTCAATATTTTCTTGTTGTGTCATCTATTTTGGAATTATTATAGCAATAAAGGCTAACTCTTTATTAAACTCTTGACTAATTCATCTTTAAATTAATTGTATTTTAATATAATGATAAAATGTCTTTAGACGTCATTGCTCGTATCGACCATAATATTATAATTACAGTCAAGGGGTGCAATATATAGGGTCCGGGTGATCAAGACTATGCACGATACCGGATTAAAACGAAAGTAGACCCTACGTACCTAAACCTCTAGTAATTTTAATATAACCAAGATTCTGGGGTCTTTCTGAAAATAGGTCTCCATTCTGTACAAACACATCTTCAATGGTGTCGTAACCATTGACGACAACTAAAACTCCATTACCGATAACAAGGCTGAAAATATCACCGTATTCATCTCTGAGTCGAGCAAAGGTCGCTATAGTGTCTTTTGCTAGTAACGAGGGTATGTTACCAACCACAGGGAGGGGAATTGGCCCTGGAGGAAGACCGGGTGGTCGTCTCGTACCCCAGTAAATATACAGACAAAACGTAATCAACAAAACTATGACAGACACATAACCATCCAATAGAAAGTCGAACATAATGATGTCCACTGTTCAGCACGAAATGCACAATAGAATATAGTCAGAAATAGCGCACTACTATGGTGGCCCATGGTCGCAATAGCGTTTTTTGGGTTATTTTTAGTATTTCATTTAAAATAATAAAAATATTAGTAAAAAAAAAGAAACATTTTTTTTGTTTTGTTTTACAAAATAAAAAAAAAATCTTTTTAAAATTTAAAAAAAAAAATCTTTTTAAAATTTAAGAAAAAAGAAATCTTTTTAAAATTAAAATTATATATATATATTTATATATATATAAAAATAATAAAATATATTTAAAAAAATAAAAAATAAATAATATTAAAAAAAAAAGTTAAATGAAAAAAAAATTGAAAAAGAAAAGATAAAAAATAATTCCCGACGTGGCCCATCGTCGCAATAGTGTCTTGAGTATCCAGACCCAGTATACAGCTATCATTAGACTAGAGCGACCAGAAACATTTTGTGGCCCATTGTTGCAGTAGTATCTCGATTATCATGTGTGGGGTCTATGAACAAGGTGTAGACTCGAACGACAAGAAACGAGTCTGTAGTTATCTCACATCAACATGTGAGTGACGGAACTTTTAACTGAAGATAAAATCCAATTTTAGTAGATACTTCAATTTTGATTGGCTAAGCACTAAAATAAATCTAATATTATCTATTAACCAATCAAATAGGCTATCATGCTCTATTTTGTCTTTGAAATTGATGTGCGCCATCGCACTTTCGCACCTCTTATCAGTTCCTGTGGTCGTCGCGGGGGACTAGCGATGACCTCACTGTCCTCAGCCTCAGGGAGAGCAGGGGTTTCACAAAAACTGAAGCTAAAATCACAAACATAGATTTTAACTAAAATCAAAGTGAAATTTTAAATTTATGCGTTTCACGAAGATCGATTGTAACTTAAAATTTAATTTTAATAGATTTTAGTTAAAATTACTTGTGCCTTGATGTGAGGTAACTATAGACTGGTTTCTTGTCGCTCGAGTCTATACGTTCTTCATAGATCCCACACAGGATAATCTGAACGACAGACCCACGAGGTTTGATAAGTCACCCTACTCCTTGTCACGTACAACCGGGGATTCGAAATCACGCCAGTTGACTCAATGACGGGCTTTATGATATGACAGGCTTTATGATACAGCGCGCACGTGCTAACCATCCCCCCCCCCCCGGCTACTTAGTAGTAGGCCTATACTTCGAGGATTAGTTTCAAAGTTGTTAACTACTTTTGAAATTCGACAGTAATTTACAGTCTATCTACAGTTCGTAAAACGTGACAATTGCCGTTGGTTGAGTCGTACCTTATATCGCTATTTTCTGTCTAATCATCTATTAAAAATATTAATTATGTTGTGTAAATTCCCTAAGAACATCCACAAATTTCATGTGTGACAATTCTCAATATAGTTTCTGTCATACAAAATACTGCAATTTGGCACGGGGGGTTGGATGGCTGAATGGTTAGCGTGCGCGCGCTGTATCATAAAGTCCTCCCACTGATAAAGACCCCTATGCGCAAGCGAATTATTGAAATAAAATTAAACCATATGTTAGTCCCGAAATGACCTAGTTTGTGTCGAGTGGACGTTAAACCCCATTTCTCTCTCTCTCTCTCTCTCTCTCTCTCGCAATTTGGCACCGTCTCTGGCCGTAGGAGATGTTTAGGAGGAATAGTGAGGATCTTGTCCTCAGGGAGGCCAAGTGTTTTAAAAACATTACATAAGCCTTTTGAGGGGAGAATAGGCCTTGTGCACTAGTAGGCCGAATGGTATTATTAAAGTAAATGACTTTATGTATGTAGGCCTAGTTCTAGTTAGACTGGATAACCTAGTCTAAATGACGCCAGGCTTCAATAGTCTATTAATTATTCATTTCTATTGACTTGCATGTGTATAAATACATATATCCAAGTCCATAGACGTCATGGGTGGAAAATCGTGTTTCACGTGTAGATGTCTGTTTACTTTTTTCCTTTCGGAAGGGGAGATAACTACAGACTCCTTTCTTGTCGCTCGGGTTATGTCACATAGGATAACCGAGACACTATAGCAACAATGGGCCACGATGTATTTCTGGTCACTCGAGTCTAATGATAGCTGTCGCAGGCTGACTTTATACCGAGTCTGGATAATCAAGACACTATTACGATGATGGGCCACGTGCAGAATTCTTTTTTGATTTTTTCTATTTCACTTATTTTTCTTTTAATTAAAATGTTATTTTTTTTTATAGATTTTTTTAATCTTAAATATTTTATTAATATTTTTATTTATAGATTTTTTTTTATTTTAAATTTTTTTTTTTAAATTTTGAAAAGATTTTTTTTATTTTTTAAAACAAAAGAAAAAAAAATGTTTCTTTTTTTTTTACTTTTATTTTTTATTTTAAATGAAATACAAAAAAGTAACCCCAAAAACGCTATTGCGACCATGGGCCACCATACACTACCGTACTGGACAGTAAACTGCTCTATAAATAACTCGGACTCTAGCTAGAACGACACACACGATACGTCCTACATTCAGCTAATATCAATAGATGGATCAACATTCTATTTTTATGCACCAACCCGGATGATGAAGAAGGGCGGGTCGTGGAAGCGGGGCGTGGCGGGATCCAGAATTGCATATCTCCGTTTTGTAGTAAAGCCTACGACGAGATCCCGGCGAAGGCTGCTCTCCCAGAAAATTTTAATAAATAGAACACTGCAGAATTTATGGTTATTAATATAGACCTGTATTGTTTTTTCTTTGAGACCACATAGGATGTATATTAAGATTTTCAGAAAATTATTTGCACTCCTATTATTGTCAGATATATACTACATGTATCAATCTGAGCAATTAAAAGGGTAATTACCAGAGGATAATCCGAAGCTTCCATTTTTTAATTATTTTAAAGGGGGTTGTATATATGGCCGAATGGTTAGCGCGTGTGCGCAAACGAATTATTGAAATAAAATTGAAAAATATGTTAGTCCCGAAATGACCTAGTTTGTGTCGAGTGGACGTTATACCCCGGCGACCGGGGATTCGAAACCACGCCAGTTGACTCAATGACGGACCGTATGATACAGCGCGCACGTGCGTAGCACTGGGTTATTTTCGAGGATTAGATTAAGATTTTTTTTTTATTGTATCGAAACATCCATTGGGGACAGCATACAATATAAACATGTACATAAATTTATAACAATATGACAAATAATATTTACAAATAAGACTACGGTAATTTTAATCTAGCTTATAATGTAGATTTACTAACAGGACAACAGTGTGTATATACACATTTACCGCAAACGGGTTTGGTAATGGCACAGCATTCAATACAAACATAATACATGGGCATAGATATTATAAATACATAAATAACGAGAGGACTTTAGTATAGGTATTTACATGGATATGGGATGAGACATCGTCAATTGCATTTGAAGGACAATTTCAGTGATTAAATTCGCTCATTGTTAATGAAATAATCAAATCATTATTTGTTCTATTTACTGTCATTTTTGTCATATTATCAAATATAGATATATAGATTCATTACATAAAACACCCTTTTCGGGCAGCATGAAAATTATATGCCTGATAAATACATTAAGGAAAATGGATGAAAAATACATATAAAGTGGATGGAAAATACATAGAAAAATGGATCGAAAATATATAAAAGGTGGGTGAAACTTACCAAAGAAGTGGATGAAATGTACATTTATATACATTGGCGGAGTATGTACAGAATTAGCTTCGAGATATACTGATGTGACGGAGGGTTGAGAGATGAGGTTTGTTATCTAGTACAAAATATAAACCGAAGTTTTGAACGTCTTTGGTATTTTTGGTCCGAGTTCAGTTGTATGATATAGCATGCCATGAATAAGCCAGGAATCTGGTCCGAATCAGTCAAAACTTTATTGACTGATCGGAAGATTTAGCGGCTATTGGTGTACATTTTCTTGCTGGCAACCTATCTTTGTCAGATATTGTTTCGAATTCCTGAATCGGATATCATCGGCCTATCTGCATTGTAACTGCTGGCCTTTTGAGTTCTGGCATGGACGGTCCATGGTTCTAGGTCATTGATCTTACAATAGTAACTTAGTAAGTCTGGAAAATCAAGACTATAAACACTGGCTGAAAATTCAAGATGGCGGACTTTGATGTAAACAACATGGGTTTTCTGTCCAAATCTGTTAATCTTCCTTTGTTTTGAACAACTGAACAAGTCCACATTCATAGATATATCAAAGCATACTTAGAATAATATTTTCGTTGACACTTTTGTACCGGAATAATTTAATTACGGCGAGAATTCACACTTTTTATGTGCTAGATTGAAACATTTTCGGAAGAAAATAATAAACTATGGTTGCTATGTGAATACAGCTACACACTAACGATATAAATGACCAATCTGTATATTAAATGAAGTTTTATTGAACCAGAAATCTGTTCAAGATGAGTTCCCCTTTACACAGTTTGAAAAAAGGTCCCAAATCACGAATGTTTGTCGGAACTGGATTAAGTTTAGACTCGATAAGGTAGGCACATATCAATTATTAATGAATTATCTTATTATTGATATCAATAACAAAAAGCAATGAAACTGGACCTGATTGGTTGTATTCACTGTACAGATATTTGTCAAGTGTTACGAGAACTTACATCAGAGCTGAATTAGGTAATTTGTAGCCTCTTCCAAAATGGCATCTTTATATAAGTTCATGACAGTTTAAAGTAGCTAAGTCCGTAACTCAATATCATCCCAAATGTTCGACATTGAAAACACAAATTTTTTTACAATTTAAATCAGCATTGGTGTTGTGATCTTAACTGGAAAAGATGGGCTTCTGATATCCAATATTTAAGACAAAATAAACATTTTACCATTGGTACACGAATCGTGTACCATAATGCGTTTCAGCGCCATTTGTAACAAGGTGCTCAAAGAATGAGACTAGACATATTCCACAAGTCATGTCAAACGGTGATATCATGTTCTTATTTGGAGAGCTAGAAACTGACTTGCGGTTGAGACTTCTAACGTATTTCGCCGAACATAACTGATGACAATTCACAGTAAAACGGACATGATTGAATGTAAAACAGTTTATATACATTCATATTACATTGTTATATGTGTTGCGACCCATTTGTGCCAATTTCTAGGTCCAAAATATTAGCGATTTAGCTCCTTTAATACAAAGTGAAATGAAATGGGGTTTAATGTCCTACTGTTCTGATCGGACTGGGTTAATAAAGACGGGCATGTACGTCATACATTGTATACACCATTGTATACACAGGACCTTGGTTTTTCGTTCCATCTGAGCGACTAGACAGTTGTCCTTGTCAGGCCCTCCTTCCTGCACCACTGACAAGGGGAAACCACGTCGGAAAATCCTGATGAAATTTCTCAGCTAGTTTAATACAGGTCACTTTTCCTGTCAGATATAGCCAAAGATTCCATCTGTTGTGCACTATACAGCCTGCCTCGGTTTTTTTATGCCACCAAAAGAAAATTTTGTTCTTTACCAGGTCCTTCTTCTTACCAGTAGGCCTACTACTGACAAGGGGACAGTCAGCTAGAAAATTCAAAATACAGAGTCACTTTCTCAGTCAACTCTACCATGCTGTACACGCACCTTCATCCACTAGGAGAGGAGTTGGATGGCCGAATGGTTAGCGCGTGCGCGTTGTATCAAAGGTCTGTCATTGAGTCAACTGATGTGGTTTCGTTTCCCCGGTTGTACGTGACAAGGAGTAGTTTCGCCTGTCCAGCCTTGAGTTTTCTCCTGGTCCTCTGTTTCCCTCCTACAGCTAATTAAGACCCCTACACCCAAGCGAATAATTGAAATAAAATTTAACCATATAGGCCTATGTTAGTCCCTAAATGACCAAGTTTGTGTCGAGTGGACCTTAAACTCCATTTCTCGCACTCTCATCCACTAGGCTCTTTCAACAATAGCAGTCCTTCATGTTTATAAAATTGTGCGGGAGCCATAAAAAGCTCCTGATACCTTGATTATATGCAGTTGAAAAGTAAACAAAAACTGAAAGTAGTTTATTAATCTCAATATTTAGGAGAGCGATTTAGCTAATTTGCAGGAGTCTTTAATGAATCCTTCGAAAGATAGCCGAGGCAGGAGGGAATGCTCCCCTTAAATGTGAAGGACTGAAATAGATTATAGGTTTCTTTTATTTAGAACAGTAGGATGTTAAACTCCATTTCATTTCTTTTGTGTGTTAAAACTTTATGAGTCCCGTACATTCAATGTTTAATATTTTTATTTCAGTCAACGACCGGTTCCATTTCGACAACCTCACTACACGGAAGATGAAACTAAATTATTAGATGAAATAACAACAAATATTGCCACAAGTAGAATAAAAACCCACAATGCACATGGTACATCAGGAAACACTGGACCATCACCTTTACCAGCTGGATCTGGACTACCTAAAATATCACGACTTGGACATCCAGGTTCATCTATGTCTAATCATTCAAACACTTCTTCGGGAGGTAAATATGTTGTTACTTTTTACCTGCCGGGGGGGGGGGGTAGGGTGAGTGCTTTAGATCATAAGGTCTGTCATTTAGTCAAGGGGTGTGGTTTGGATTTCCCGCATGTACATGACAAGGAGTAGTGTTGCCTGTTCAACCTCCTCATGTGTTTTCTCAGGGTAACGATGGCATTATGGGACTAACAGATGGTTCAATTTTATTTCAATAATTTCCTTGCGTAGGGTTCTTTAGCAGTGGGAATCAAAACCACAGCAGTTGACTCAATGGCAGACCTTATGATACAACGCGCAGACGCTAACCAATCGGCCATCCAACCCCCTGGCAGTGGCAGGGTTTAGGAATAATATCAATTTGTTAAAGCCAGTCAGCACGAACGATACTAGTCACTAATACACGGTGGCTAAGTGGGTAAGACGCTGGCTCGCTAGCCTGGAGGACGTTGGTTCAATCCCGGTGTTGGCTGAGAAAGTTCATCGGGATTTTCCGACGTGATTTCCCCTTGTCAGTGATGCAGGACGGAGGGCCTGACAAGGACAGCGGTCTAGTTGTTTGGATGGTACAGAAAACCGAGGTCCTTTGTATACATTATCATGCGCGTAAATGATCCCTTGGCAGTTGTAATTCGATGTAAGAGTAGGCCATAGTACCGTTACCCTGGCAAAATTTCCCTCATAGCACACTGTATGGCGTATGCCCGTCTTCATTAGCCCAGTTCGGATCAGAACAATAGGACGTTAAACCCCATTTTATTTCATTTCACTAATATACTCCGGATAACATTTTTTTACCTCTTATACAAAGTCAGTCTGGGTGTTTTTTTCATTAAAATCCTGTATTTTTTTCATTAAAATCCTGTATTTTTTATTTTTTGTTTTAGCACCGAGTGATAAAGATCTGATGAGTTTGATGATGAATAAAATAACTTTATTAGAACAAAGAGTGCAATATCAGAATAAAGATATAGTTGATAAGGTAAGATCATGGTTTAACCTATATGAGAGAGAGAGAGAGAGAGAGAGAGAGAGAGAGAGAGAGAGAGAGAGAGAGGGAGGATATAGTTGATAAGGTAAGATCATGGTTTAACCCATGAGAGAGAGTGAGAGAGAGAGATGGGGTTTAACTCCAATGGACACAAACTAGGTAATTTCGGGACTACCAGGCTGTACGTGGCAGGGAGTAGGGTCGTCTGTCCAACCTCATGGGTTTTCTCCAGGTCCTCCGGTTTCCTCCTAATGCTAAAGACCCCTACGCGCAAGCCAATTATTGAAATATGTGTATTGTTGAATGTTGTTTTGGTTTTTTTTAAATTTCAGGATAAAAGAATCCATATTTTAGAAGAAAAGTTAAAAATCTTGAAAAAAGCCAGTGGTGAGATATGAAGAATTATTTTTTAGAATGTTAATGTAACCAAAGATAATATATTTTAAATGTGTTCTGAAATTTCAGTCAAATACAGTGGACTCTGTCACTTTCGACATCTGGATACTACGGCATTCTGTGAAATCCGTCATCATTTTCATGTCCAAATTTATTTCCTTATTACTTCAACCAAAAAAGGTTTGAGTAGTCCGGATCTTGAATATTCCGATTACGACATCAATCAGCGGTCCCGTCAAACAATTTGCTTTAAATTAACATTGGAAATTCAATAGTCTGGATCCTGAATATTCTGAATTACGACATCAGTCAGTGGTCCTGTCACAAGATTTGCGTACAATTAACATTGGAAATTCAATAGTCTGGATCCTGAATATTCTGAATTACGACATCAGTCAGTGGTCCTGTCACAAGATTTGTGTACAATTAACATTGGAAATTCCAACCTTCAATCAGTGGGCGTTAACCAACAAGCAATCATCAATTAATTATCTGTGAGCATAAAATATGTGTTGATCTTTGTTGATTACCTTGATAATTTTATAATCGCTTATAAGAGAGCGCTTGGTATCTGATTTGAGTTTCTCACGTCATCATATTTTAAGTTCTGGGTATTCGAAGGTACAATAAAACTTCAGGTATAATACTTCTGGTATTTTGGCAATTAATTATTTTGATATGCTGTGTAATCCGGCATATTGTATTGATCCAGTTCGATGTCGGAATTGACACTTTAAGTGAATAATTAGCTATTGGATGACAATATTATTATGAATGATAACATGTGACCACTCTTGTCTATCAAGTCAAGGGGTGTTGGATGCCCGAATTGTTAGCACATGTGCGTTGTATAATAAAGTCTGTCATTGAGTCAACATGTGGTTTCGATTCCCCGGTTGTATGTGGCAAGGAGTAGGGTTGCCTGTCCAATCTCGTGGGTTTTCTCCGGGTCTTCCGGTTACCTCCTACTAATAAAGACCCCTACGTGCAAGCAAATTCTGGAAATAAAATTAAACCATAGGTTAGTCCCGAAATGACCTAGTTTGTGTCGAGTGGACGTTAAACTCCATCTCTCTCTCCCTCTTTCTCTCTCTCGCTCTCTCTCTCTCTCTCTCTCTCTGTATCATTCGATCCCTACAATGTGGGAATTGACAGAGTCCACTGTAAGTGAATAATTAGTTATTGGATGACAATATTATTATGAATGAGAACATTTGACAGCTCTTGTCTATCAAGTCGACTAGGATGCAATATCTTTTTTTCGCCATGGCTTGCCTTAGGCCCAATATAATGATGGCAGAGATAATAATAAAAATGTAATTTGAATTCCATTCTCTTACAGATAGTAGTGAACCTAGTCGACCCCGGGAACTGGAGAAAAAATGCCTACTTTTAAAACAACAGATACATGAAATGGAGGTCAGTATTTTCTGGAACTTAAAACTCTAACGTACCGCATTTTACACAAGCTCTGAAACTAAAAACTCTAATGTACCGCATTTTACACAAGCTCTGAAACTTAAAATCTAATGTACTGCATTTAACACAAGCTTTGAAACTTAAAACACTAATGTAACACATTTAACACAAGCTTTGAAACTAAAAAATCTAATGTTCCGCATTTAACACAAGCTTTGAAACTTAAAACACTAATGTAACACATTTAACACAAGCTTTGAAACTTAAAACACTCATGTAACACATTTAACACAAGCTTTGAAACTTAAAACACTATATAATGTACAGCATTTAACACAAGCTCTGAATCTTAAAACTGTAATATACCACATTTAAGACAAACTTCGAAACCAAAAACTCAAATGTACCGAATTTTTCCACAGGAAACCCAGGGGGGGCGGGGGGTGGATAGCCAAATGGTTAGCATGTGCTTGTTGTATCCTAAGGTCTGTCATTGAGTCAACTGGAATGGGTTTCTATTCCCCGGTTGTACGTGACAAGGAGTAGGGCCTATCAAACCTCATGGGTTTTCTCTGGGTCCTGTTACACAATTGGGGGATGTATAATTGCATACCCTCACGAAATCAATTAGCAATCTTATCATAGGGCTAGCAGACAGTAAAGACTAACAGACAGACAAAAGTCGTTAGGAAGTCATTAATCATCACAGATGTCCTGAGTTACGCAAGATCCTTGAATGATAAAGCAATCTGCACGGGAAACTTAATCTGTTATTATATAATGACCAGTTGCCAATCCCGGTCCTAATATAATCTGAAATATAATACCTGGAATTAGTTGATTGGCCAATAACTATATGTCCGTCCAGGTTATTGACCCACCCCGACCGGATACTGACCAATCAGGTTACGATGCATGGGTGTGGTATCAAGAAAACAAGGCTGGACATGGATTCGGCCCAGGAATTAAAAAGATTAGACAAACCGTTTTGGGATCAGTCAGGTCCAGGAGGCCGTGCTAGGCGGGCGCCTAGATGAAGGTACCTAATGGATACTATTGAGGTCCAGGCAGGGCTAGGAGTTAGGTCCGGCCAGGACTGAGCGAAGGCCATGGGCGCCTTAGCACGAGATGGTACGAGACGACAGCTTCTGGAGTTAGCACACTCATGCTAAGCTAAGCTAAGACATTCGACTCCCTCCATTTAAGTTAGTTCTACGGTCGTTTACATTATGATGTTTGTACCTAATATGTAAGAAGAATAAAAATATTATATTCGAAGTCACACCAGTGTTGCCTCCAGAACTTGATTAAAGAACTAATACTGTAACATATAAATTGGTGCCGTAGACCAGACCAACGCTTGAAGTCTTATACCACTAGACGACCACAGGCCACAGATTTTAGTATTCACAGGTAATTCTTTTTCTAAATCCTACCATGGCGACGGTTCATAAAATGACATTAGTGCTATGTATTATAATTTAACTGGGAAATCTGCAGTATATGATCACGCGTCATTAAATATCATGGTGTAGTTACTAAATTTAATATATTGCCTTTCAAGCTAGTAGTGGAACAGGAAAATGGCTAAAACAAAATTGTATATATATTATTTGTTTTAAAATGCGTCATGTTGTTTTTAAAAGATTATGAATTATCATTGGTTGTTTTGAACACATATTTTGGCTTTTAAATTTCGTAGTAGCTAAGTATTATCAGGCTAATAACTGCGAAGTGAAATGTTTTATGATTGTTTAATTATCTGGAATAGAGTTAAGCGTATCCTAATTGAGAGATATAGCTCTTTAAACATTCACACAGTATTAACGGTTTTATCTCTTATAATTTTTTTGTTGTTATTTTGTCTATATATATTTATGCCCCGAGGTTTACGGGAGACCCGATATTTACGGTAGAGAGTTTTATTTGTAATACCCCAAAGTTTTAATGGGAAATGCCCCGATATGTAACGGGAGAAGTTTATGTTAAGTGGTTTAACCCCAGGAGGGTTGTGCTCGGATTTAAGAGCGAACGTATTGTCTTGTTTTGTGTTGTGTTTAAAAATTATAGAGATAAACCGTTAGTTCTTTCAAAAAATATCTTATTTAAGATTGGTTAAATGTGTTCAGATCATTCATTATTCTTGAGATAAAACAATATGACTCCCTAATTTCAATTGTATCCATGTAAATAATACTGTAAATATCGTTAGATCGTTATCTAAAGTCAAATCTGTTCCACTTGCTAATTTGATTAACTATTAATTAAGTTCACTCCATGATATGATACGCAGATGATCAAACTTCGGCACGGGGAGCAGTTATAATACTTTTCATAGCACGTCATAACACCGTTGGGCCAAACGGTATGGAAAAGGAAAAGATTACCGAACAAAACATGGTGGCAAATAATGCCAATAGTGTAACTACACGAAGCAGGGAAATTCTGACCTCTCGCCATTAAGGGAATCCTATCAGCCAGTGAAGTCGTGAATAAAGAAGAGGACAACAATTCATACCTCTCCATACAGTTTGCTTACAGGATAGTGTTTCGCGTCTGTATCCGCGTGTGTGATCATCAAACCAGAGTGCACCATATATGTGAATAATTAGAGTAGTTTGTGTTGTGTGATTCCACGATCTCGTTTGTTTTTTTTTGCATTGACCAACGTGTGTGACGGGTGTTGTATATATAACTTTTACGTTCGTGTGTTTACCATTTACATTTTCCTTTTGTTTATAGACATTTTTGGATATTATGACATTTTACAAATGCATATATAACTTTTAAATTTGTGTGTTTCATTTACATTTTTAAACATTTTTGTATACGACATTTTACAAATGTTTATTTTTTTCCATTTTTTATTCCATTTTATTAATATTGTAATTAAGATTGTAAAGGGTTTAAAAAAGTTATGCAAAATAACTTTTCTTTGACAATGTGAGGAATGTTACACAATTGGGGGATGTATAATTGCATACCCTCACGAAATCAATTAGCAATCTTATCATAGGGCTAGCAGACAGTAAAGACTAACAGACAGACAAAAGTCGTTAGGAAGTCATTAATCATCACAGATGTCCTGAGTTACGCAAGATCCTTGAATGATAAAGCAATCTGCACGGGAAACTTAATCTGTTATTATATAATGACCAGTTGCCAATCCCGGTCCTAATATAATCTGAAATATAATACCTGGAATTAGTTGATTGGCCAATAACTATATGTCCGTCCAGGTTATTGACCCACCCCGACCGGATACTGACCAATCAGGTTACGATGCATGGGTGTGGTATCAAGAAAACAAGGCTGGACATGGATTCGGCCCAGGAATTAAAAAGATTAGACAAACCGTTTTGGGATCAGTCAGGTCCAGGAGGCCGTGCTAGGCGGGCGCCTAGATGAAGGTACCTAATGGATACTATTGAGGTCCAGGCAGGGCTAGGAGTTAGGTCCGGCCAGGACTGAGCGAAGGCCATGGGCGCCTTAGCACGAGACGGTACGAGACGACAGCTTCTGGAGTTAGCACACTCATGCTAAGCTAAGCTAAGACATTCGACTCCCTCCATTTAAGTTAGTTCTACGGTCGTTTACATTATGATGTTTGTACCTAATATGTAAGAAGAATAAAAATATTATATTCGAAGTCACACCAGTGTTGCCTCCAGAACTTGATTAAAGAACTAATACTGTAACAGTCCTCCAGTTTCCTTCCACTGCTAAAGATCCCAACGTGCAAGCGGATTATTGAAATAAATTTGAACCCTGTGTTAGTCCTGAAATGACCTAGTTTGTGTCGAGTGGACGTTAAACCCCATTTCTCTCTCTCTAAATAACACAACATGAATAGAGTTGTCTTCCCACTAACCTTGATGTGTTGCCCAATAGAATTTCTGATATCTATAACTTTTCCGTCGCGAATCACAGACTTGGGTAAATGGTTTAAAAAATCATCAACTCTTTCTCTAGGACCTAGGAAAAAGGCAGAAACAAGTTTCTTTTATTAGTAAACTTTAGGATTAAGTATAAAATTTTGTGCTTTACTTTTCATAGTAAATCATAGGCTTTAAACTATTTTTTATTTATCAACAGACATTTTTAAGTGATTATGGGATGGTATGGTTAGGTGACAAATCATCCGAAGAATCAGAAGTTTATCTTGAGGAAGAGGAGGGGGAAGTAGAGGAAGAGGGGGAGGAAGAAGACAGCAGTACAGATGATGGGGGAATCATGTGGAGACCAGGTAATGATTATTTTAAGTATTGACAGTTTGTAATCCTTTAGTGGCATTTAGCGATTGGAAACATAGCAAAACTAACACAGCTACATGTATATGGGACAACAATCACTGGTTTATTATACACTAGCACGACGTTTAAGTATTCTATTGTCGTTAGGCAAGCACAATGACATTTAGTTATTGGAGACATAACAGAACTACCACAGTTACATGGGACAACAATCACTGGTTTATTATGCATGAGAGCGACGTTTCGATAAGTATCCTTTTATCGTTATCAAGTACAAACCCATATAACTGTGTTAGTTCTGTTATTGACCGTTTGTCCTGCAATTACAATGATCTTAGGGGGGTTGGAAGGCTGAATGGTTAGAGCGTGTGCACTGCATCATAAGATCGGTCATTGAGTCAACCTGTGTGGTTTCGATTCCCAGATGTACATGACAAGGAGTAGGATCACTTGTCCAACCTCGATGGTTTTCTCCGGGTCTTCCGGTTTCCTCCCACTGCTAAAGACCCCTACGCGCAAGCGAATTATTGAAATAAAATTGAGCCATATGTTAGTCCCTAAAGTGAACAAGTTTGTGTCGAGTGGACGTTAAACTCTCTCTCTCTCTCTCTTTGCCAAGCCCTCCAGTTGAAAGTTGAAATATCCTGATTAAGTTTTTATAACAACACCGTGATTAAGACCAGGACCTTCTGGTTAGTAAGCACTGATTGAAATGAAATGGGGTTTAAAGTCATACTCCTGCTGGGCTAATGAAGATGGACATACGCCATACAGTGTGCTACGAGGGAAATTTTGCCCTGACAGCGGCACTACGGCCTACTCTTATATCGAATTCCAACTGCCAAGGGATCTTTTACGTGCACGCCAATATGTACACGGGGCCTTGGTTTTTCGTCCCATCCGAACGACTAGATGAACTTTTACGGCCAATGCAGGGATTGAACACCCGACCGCCAGGCTAGCGAGCCAGCGTCTTACTCACTTATCCACCGTGTCTCCCAGCACTTATCGAACAGAGAGAGAGATAGAAATGAGGTTTAATGTCCACGCGACACAAACTAGGTCATTACGAGACTAACACATGGTTCAATTTTTTATTTCAATAAATCGCTTGCGCGTAGTGGTCTTTAGCAGTGGCAGGAAACCGGAGGACCCGGAGGAAATCCATGAGGTTGGACAGGTGACCCTAATCCTTGTCACGTACAACCGGGGAATCGAAAACACGCCAGTTGACTCAATGACAGGCCGTGTGATACAGTGGGCATGTGCTAACCATTCGGCCATCCAACCCCCCACTAATCGAACAACTGTGATTGTCAGATAGCTAATTTTATACGCCCACATTTTCATGTGGACGTATATTGTCGTCGCCCCTGTCCGTCCGTCCACAATTTGTTTGTGGACTCTCTACAGGTCACAATTCTTGTCCGATTTTGACGAAACTTGAAATATAGGTTTGTCCCCAAAAGATCTCGGCTGCTTTCGATATTGGCATGTATCGGATCGAAACTTCATGGATTATGGCCCCTGTTTGTACGAAAAATCACGTTTTTAGCTTGTGGACCCTATAGAGGTCACAATTTTTATTCGATTTTGTTGAAACTTGAAATGTAAGTTTATAACCCAAAGATCTTGGTTCCTTTTGATATTCGCGCATATCGAGCCGTAACTTCCTGAAGTATGGCCCCTGATTGTACGAAAAATCACGTTTTTAGCTTGTGGACCCTATAGAGGTCATAATTTTTAACCGATTTAAAAAAACGTATTATTATATCACCGTTACACCCTAGGGACGACTGACTTCGAATTTCGTAAAAATCGACCCAAAATTGACAGACAAAATGGCCGCCGTTCGTTCTCAAATAGCGTAAAAATATGGTATATCAAGGTTTTGGACCCTATAGAGGTCACAATTTTGATCCGATTTTGATGAAACTTGAAATGTAAGTTTATAACCCAAAGATATCAGTTCCTTTCAATATTCCCGCATATCGGACCGTAACTTCTTGAATTATGGCCCCTGATTGTTCGAAAAAACGTGTTTTTCACTTGTGGACCCTATATAGGTCATAATTTTTATCCGATTTAAATAACCATATTATTATATGACCGTTACACCCTAAAGACGACTGAGATCGAATTTCGTGAAAATCTGCCCAAAATTGACAGACAAAATGGCCACCGTTCATCTCAAATAGCATAAAAATATGGTATAACAAGGTTGTGGACCCTATAGAGGTCACAATTTTTATCCGATTTTGTTGAAACTTAAAATGTAAGTTTATAACCCAAAGATCTCGGTTCCTTTCGATATTCGCGCATATCGGACCGTAACTTCCTGAATTATGGCCCCTGATTGTACGAAAAATCGTGATTTTGGCTTGTGGACCCTATAGAGGTCATAATTTTTATCTGATTTAAAAAAACGTATTATTATATCACCGTTACACCCTAAGGACGGCTGAGTTCAAATTTCGTAAAAATCGGCCCAAAATAGAAAAACATAATGGCCGCCGTTCGTTCTCAAATAGCGTAAAAATATGGTATATCAAGGTTGTGGACCCTATAGAGGTCACAATTTTTATCCGATTTTGTTGAAACTTGAAATGTAAGTTTATAACCCAAAGATCTCGGTTCCTTTCGATATTCGCGCATATCGGACTGTATCTTTCCTGTATTATGCTCCCTGATTGTATGGAAAATCACGTTTTTAGCTTGTGGACCTTATAGAGGTCATAATTTTTATCCGATTTAAAAAAGACGTATTATTATATCACCGTTAAACCCTAAGGATGGCTGAGTTCGAATTTCGTGAAAATCGGCCCAAAATTGACAGACAAAATGGCCGCCGTTCATTCTCAAATAGCGTAAAAATACGGTATATCAAGGTTGTGAACCCTATAGAGGTCACAATTTTGATCCGATTTTGATGAAACTTGAAATACATATTTATAACCCAAAGATCTTGGTTCCTTTTGATATTCGCACATATTGGATCATAACTCCCTGAATTATGGCCCTTGATTGTACGAAAAGTCGCGTTTTTAGGATGTGATCCTTCTAGATGTCACAATTTTTATCCGATTTAAAAAAACGTTTGAATATATCACTGTTACACCCTTATGATGGTTGAGTCCAAATTTCGTACAAATCAGACCAAAACTGCCGGACAAAATGGCTGCCCATCCTACGCAAATATTGTAAATATGTGGTATATCAAGGATTTGGACCCTTTAGAGAGAGGACACAATTTTGATCCGATTTTGATGAAACTTGAAATACATGTTTATAACCCAAAGATCTTGGTTCCTTTCAATATTCATGCATATCGGATTGTAACTTCCTGAATTATGGCAACCGCTTGTTATATTTTCTCTTCATAGGATCTTCAGTGTCATCAGTTCGTCCATTTCAAATCAACTTTGATCAGTTGATAGAAAACATCAAAGATTTAAACATCCTGGCTGGAGAAGGCCTTGCCAAAGTTACTAAAACAACAGATGGAGCCAGGTTAAAGGTTAGGTGCCTTGAAATTTTATTTGTTAAGCGGTTTGTTTTCATTAATTTAAGGTCCCTTGGGTCCTAAAAATGGAGTGTAATGAAGAAAGGCATACGTCATGCAGTTTGCCCAGACAGTGACACTACAGCCTACTCTTATTTCAGTTTCAAACAGTCCGAGTATCTTTAACTTGATTCCAAGTCATTGATGCTATTTCGTCCATATTTTCTGGACATGTCCTGCGCTATTTTCCAAACGTCCAACCAGGAATATGCTCAATCGAACATCAAGATATGGTGAATAATATTCATAATTCCAAAATTAATTTACTATACCGAGTGTATAACTACTTCTCGTCCCGATTATCGTTGATAATAGGCTGGATTGATTAGGTAATTAAAACGTATATATGTATACAAGACCTCACCTTTTAGTGACATCTGCACCACTGACAAGGTAGTAATCCGACTGCAAACTCCAGAAGAACATTATTGGCAAACGGAGGACCTCTCATTTAGTGATCTGGTACTTCGCACAGGCCTGCTGTGGCTCCCACAGAAAATAGAACATGTCACCATTATGATTAATTTTATTTATACTCTGTACTGTACCTTGTCCTTTAGCTCTGTATAATAACCTATAATGATTATGTTAATAGATACAAGAGGCAATACGTATAACTATATTTAATACTGTGTAATTTATAACTATCGTGTTATGGATACCAGAGGTAGTACCTATAGTTCTATTTAATACAGGGGGTTGAATGGTCGAATGGTTAGCACCCACGCGCTGTGTCATGCGGTCTGTCATTGATTCAACTGGCGGGGTATCGATTCCCCGGTTGTACGTGATAAGGAGTAGGGGCGCTGTCCAACCTCGTGGGTTTTCTACGGGTCCTCTGGTTTCCTCCCACTGCTAAAGATCCCTGCGCGCAAGCGAATTATTAAAATAAAATTGAACCATGTGTTAGTCCCGAAATGACCTAGTTTCTGTCGAGTGGACATTAAACCCCATTTCTCACTCTCTCTATTTAAATACTGTGTAACTATCATGTTATAGATACCAGAGGCAGTACCTATAACTCTGTTTAATACTATGTAACTATTGTGTTATAGATACCAGAGGCAGTACCTATAGCTCTGTATAGTAATGGTATGATGTTATATAGAGGTCCATTTAGACCCTATACCGACCCTACAACACAACAATGTATACAAGATCTGATGGATGGGTATTTCCCTTCTGAACTTCAACAACGGTACCCTGATGGAATTCCATTCGCAGTAAGTACAATACAACAGACAATGGGTTTTCTCTGAGTCCTCCAGTTTCCTCCCACAGCTAAAGACCCCTATGCTCAAGCAAATTATTGAATTGTTAGTCCTGAAATGAAATAATTTGTGTCGAGTGGACGTTAAACTCTCTCTCTCTCTGTACAAGGGTGTTTTGTTTTTTAAACTCATCCTAATGACTACACACTTTTCCTTGGCGTGCCCCCTAGCCTACACCACTGACAAAGGAGTAACCAGACTGGATGATCCAAAGGAATTTTTCCTGGAACCTTCAGAATGGTGAGCTAGCTTCAATAACCACTATGCCACAAACTTGATACCTGTAAATATTCCAGTCTGGAAATACAGCGCCTGTCACAGACAATGTCAGGCACAGATTCAGGCTTTGTCAGGCACAAAACCTCTGGTGTCTGTCATTTTGTCTGGCACTGATTTGTCTTATTTATTGATATTATTAATACATGTCTGGCACTAAGTTGAAAATGTCAGGTACTATTTCATTAGAGCCTGACATTTTGTCAGGTATATCTAAAACCGTTATTTCCAGGCCTGCTTCTGTATTATAACTTTTTTACATTTCTATAATTCAAAGGTAACTGATTTAAGAAAGGTAAAGTTTACTGATAAGAGACACAAAAAGATATTTCATGGAGCAGGTCAGGTTTTAGGCGGAGATACAAAACCGTCACGACTTATTCCCTCCAATTTAAATAAATCAAATAAATCAACTAGTGGCAATGTCAGGAGTGGTGCTACGTCACCAGAACTGGAAACTAGTGAATTACCAGGTAAGAACAGAACCAATGACATGGCTAAATCTATTTGTTAAGGCCAGCTCAATTTTTGTCAAAGTCGTTGAGATATAAATAAGGTTAGGGCAGGTGATTGTTTGCGAGATTGTAGGTTAGGTTTATGAATTTGAGGGAGAGGTTAAGTCTCCACATAAGCACTGACCTAGGATGATGAAAAGTTAGTTCGTGATATTTCCTAGTTTTATTAAAAATACATACAATACATTAGATTTATATAAAAAAGCGATTTCACTGTTTTTATACGTCCACATTCATAATGTGAACGTATTATGCCGTCGCCCCTGTCTGTGTGTGTGTGTGTGTGTGTGTGTGTATGTATGTATGTGTGTGTGTGTGTGTGTGTGTCTGTGGTTCGCCTACAGGGCGCAATTCTTCATGGATTTTCTTCAAACTTGGTATACTTATTCCTTATACCCCAAGGAAGATCCCTATTGTTTTTGGTGCATGCCCGACCCCCCGGGGCAGAGCCACGCCCATTTCTAGTATTTGTTTGTTTGTCGTCTACAGGCCACATTTCTTAACTAATAATCTTGAAACTTTGCATACACATTCTTTGTACCCTAAGGAACATCCCTATCGTTTGGGGTGCATGCCCAACCCCCAGGGGCAGAGCCACGCCCATTTTCTTTTCGTGTGTCTTTGTGTCGCCTACAGGGCGCAATTCTTACTGGATTTTCTTCAAACTTGGTATACTTATTCCTTATACCCCAAGGAAGATCCCTATTGTTTTTGGTGCATGCCCGACCCCCAGGGGCAGAGCCACGCCCATTTCTAGTATTTGTTTGTTTGTCGTCTACAGGCCACATTTCTTAACTTATAATCTTGCATACACATTCTTTGTACCCTAAGGAACATCCCTATCGTTTGGGGTACATGCCCAACCCCCAGGGGCAGAGCCACGCCCATTTCCCATTTTCTTTTCGTGTGTCTTTGTGTCGCCTACAGGGCGCAATTCTTACTGGATTTTCTTCAAACTTGGTATACTTATTCCTTATACCCCAAGGAAGATCCCTATTGTTTTTGGTGCATGCCCGACCCCCAGGGGCAGAGCCACGCCCATTCCTTATATTTATTTATTTGTTTGTCATCTACAGACCGCATTTCTTAACGTATCAACTTTACATATTTATTCCTTATACCCTAAGGATGATCCCTATTGTTTTTAGTGCATGCTCGCCTCCCCGGGGCAGAGCCACGCCCATTTTTGTATTTGTTTGTTTGTCGTCTACAGGCCGCATTTCTTAACGTATCATCTTGAAACTTTGCATACTTATTCTTTGTACCCTCAGGAACATCCCTATCGTTTTGGGTGCATGCCCACCCCCCAGGGGCAAAGCCACGCCCATTTTCTTTTTCTATGTGTGTGTGTCGCCTACAGACCACAATTCTTAATCAATTGTCTTGAAATTTTTTCATATGAATTGCTTATACCCTAACGATGACCCCTATTGTTTTTTTACCCCCAGGGGCAGAGCCACGCCCATTTTCTTTTCTTTTTATGTCTGTGTGTCACCTACAGGCCACAATTCTTAATCAATCGTCTTGAAAATTTTTCATATGAATTGCTTATACCCTAAGTATGATCCCTATTGTTTTTGGTGCATGCCCGACCACCAGGGGTAGAGCCACGCCCATCCCTTATATTTATTTATTTGTTTGTCATCTACAGATCGCATTTCTTATCGTATCACCTTGAAACTTAGCATACATATTCTTTCTATCCTAAGGAACATCCCTATTAGTTGTGGTGAATACCCAACCCCCAGGGGCAGAGCTACGCCCATTTTCTTTTTTTATGTCTGTGTGTCACTTGCAGACCGCATTTCTTAATCGATCATCTTGAAATTTTTTTTAGACTTATTCCTTATAGCCTAAGGCTACGTTTTTACACTTATTCCTTAATCCTAAGGCTGGCCTCTATTATTATTTTTGGTGCATGCTCAACCCCTTGGGACAGAGTCACGCCTAATGTTTGTGTGTCTTGTGTTTTGCCTACAGGCCGCAATTCTTAACCGATCCTTTTGAAATGGGGATACCTATTCTAAACGTCATGCTTTTAGAATAAAGACATCGATTGTTTTAAAATAAAAATTGTGTTCTGTTAATGTGAACGAAACGTTAAACTGATAGCAGTCCTACAACCCAGTTTTATTTCACAGACCCTCAATGCAAACTGGACCATATCAAACAAAACAGGAATGTGGACGTATATTGCTGCGTTAGCGATGCTCTTGTTTGGTGTTGGTGGTGCTGGTGGTCTTCCTTGGATGATACTTCTGGTATTCTGGTATTTTTGTTTCTGAAGAAGAAAAAGAATAATTTTGAGGCTCTAGGGGGAGAGCCACATTAGTGTGTTTCCTACTACGGATTGGATTTTCTAAAAAATCGTATTTGTTCCACATCACCGGGTTAGGGCTAGGGATTCTTATATCTAGTTGATTTTATTTACTAACGGTTAGGTTTGTTTTGGGTTAGGGTGGAGACTGGTCTTATTTAATCTAATTGAGCTGGCCTTATCATTTAGCACTAACCACCAGCCAATGGCATAGCTGGAGTTGTGCTACCCAAGAGGCAGTTCTTGTGTTTGACACTATCTCTCCGTGCAAAAACACAACAGAGGATACATGAAACCTGCACTAGGCCACAGTTTTATCCCCCATGCCACCACATGGGCCGGACCTCACATTGAAAGTAACTTGAAATGTTTTTTAAAGGATGAATATTGATGAAGAAAATTTCATCTACTTCTGTGTATAAAATCCACAAAAGACCATTTACCTGGGTGGGAGGGTGAAGGGGTTGGAATAATATCTATTTTCCCTATTGTCGGATGCTATATAACCAGGACTTTGCTGACAGTTAGATGAGCGGGGACGAGACGGAGAGACCGGCATATGGACTTGCCCGAGTTCAGCCGCTGTCGTGGCAGGAGGACTGAATGGTTGTTTTAATGTACCATGTTAAGTTTAGTTCCTGTTGTATTTATGTAGTTTTATATTCTGTTCCAATGTAAATAAATCATATTTACTAAACTCATCTCTGTTATAACTAAGATAGTGTTACAAAGAAACTTGTTTCTGCTTTTTTCCTAGGTCCTAGAGAAAGAGTTGATGATTTTTTAAACCATTTACCCAAGTCTGTGATTCGTGACGGAAAAGTTATAGATATCAGAAATTCTATTGGACAACACATCAAGGTTAGTGGGAAGAGAACTCTATTCATGTTATGTTATTTACAGAAAGAGAGAGAAATGGGGTTTAACATCCACTCAACACAAACTAGGTCATTTCGAGACTAATATGGCTCAATTTTATTTCAATAATTCACTTGTGCATATGGGTCTTTACCAGTGGGAGGAAACCGGAGGACCCGGAGAAAACCCATGAGGTTCGACAGGCGACCCTACTCCTTGTCACGTACAACAACCGGGGAATCGTAACCACGCCAATTGACTCAATGACAGACCTTATGATACAGCATGTGCTAACCATTCGGCCATCCAACCCAGCTATGTTATTTAGATGGGGTTTAATGGCGAGATACACGAGAATTCTCAATTGAGTGACAATCTCTAGTGCCTGGTTATTCCAGTCTATTTTGCATGACCCCCAGATAAGAATATTGCGTCACTGTTTGACATGATTGTGTCCCTTGTTACAAATGGCACTGAAACGCATTATGGTACAGAAAGACTTTGGATGATATTAAGTTTAGAGATTTAGATCTAGATGCTTTAACCATTTTTCGTAGCATATCCAAATTGTTGAAATAAAATTGAACCATATGTTAGTCCTGAAATGAACTAGTTTGTGTCGGTGGACGTTAAACCCTATTTCTCCCTCTTGTTTTGGACGAATATTTTTCATTGTATTAAGATGATGGCTCACTAGCCAGTAGGTCAACTTTCTAACATACCAGTCAGGTTTATCAGTTGATTCCACCAGTTCGATCCCTGCATTGGCCGAGAAAGTTTATCAGGATTTGCCTGTGTGGTTTC